GTCCGACACCCCCCACGTGTCGATGAACCAGCTGGTCGACGACGTCTGGAAAGTGTACCGGGTCGCCCGCCACTGTGCCCACCACCGCCCGCGGATCGAGAACATCGCCCGGCGCTTGATGTACCTCAAACAAAAGGACTACACCCCCGTGGCGGTGGCGCCGCTCCCCGCGGTCGCCGCCACAGTGGACCCCCCTGGTTGCGAGCGCCGCGGCGCCTCTTGGGAATATAACGGGGGCGACCACCACCCCGACACCGACCTCCAGCAGATGGGCGAAGTGTGCTTGCCTCAGTTCTCCTTCTACGACCACCCACTGACGCTGACGACCCCGCTGGCCGACGACGACCGCTACCACATGCCGACCACCTTCCCGCCGCCCCGCGCCCCCCAAATGGCGTACCCTAACCCGTTCGCCCCGCCGACGCCGCCGGCGCCTATCCACCCCCAGACCCAGCCGCCCCAGGTGCCCCACCGCTATGGCGTCTACGACCACTTCAACAACGGCGCCATGTTTGGCAACAACGGCACCGTCAACCCGACGGCGCTGGCGCACGCGCTACTAGCGCACCCCGACCCCCAGTTTGAGTTTGGCGACGTCGACCTGAGCTTCACCACGCCGCTACCGCTGTACGTGTCGCTCACCGAGTTGGGGGCGATGCTGGAGGCGGCGCCGGCGAAGGACAAGCCGCGGCTGCTGGCGAAGAAGCTCAAGCCGCCGACGGAGTGTCTGAACTGCGGCACCACTAAGACGCCGTTGTGGCGGCGCAGCCCCCAGGGCGAGCCGCTATGTAACGCGTGCGGCCTCTTCCTCAAGCTCCACGGCGTCGTGCGCCCGCTCTCGCTCAAGACCGACGTCATCAAGAAGCGCCAGCGGCGCAAGGACCTGGTGCTGAAGCTGAAGAGCGCGTCGAACTTGAAGGACTTGGAGTGGCTAATTTGATAGATCTATAGACGGACGCCCTCGCCGGTAGACAGAAACGGCTGTGGCTTGATGCCCGGGGCTCATAATGAATGTTCACGTTCAGAGTTTAAATCTCGTAGCCAGGTAATTGTGGCACCCCCCCCACCCTTGTTTTGTTGACGTGCGTGGGCGTGGGCGTGGGGGAGCAAGCGATTCGGCCCGACGAAGCCGACATTGTGGCCACCGCAGCTATAGCCGAAGCCGGGCGGGACAATAACCAAACGACGCACCACGCCCGCCCGCCTTGGGAACCCTGGCCACGGCTGTTGCCAACGGGTGCTCTGGGATCCTTCCTCTGCCGGCAATTGTCCCCCGCGACATTTGTCGGCTTCCGCCCACCGCTGTGGCTGCTGTCGTCGTTTCGGGCCATGTCGGACTTTAGCGGGGAACACCATGCACCTACCACGGCACCCCAGGCAAGCTTACCCCCAAGAATCTTCCTATCCAAATGGCGTTTAATGGTGACAGGTCGCTAATGCTGATAATGATTCCTCTCGTAGACAACGGTCTAATCAGGCGTCTGTGCTCGTGACGTTCAGGGGGTATGCATTATTTCGTTGATAACCCCCCCTCCTCCCCCTCCGATGTCTAACAATTGACGCCCTGCATGGGTTTTTTGTGGCCGCGAAATTAGACTTCTAAATTATTGACGAAAGACGACTGCTTTCACGTGGCACCGCCCACAGTGCCCGTTTTTGTGTATTTCTTTCATTTCAGATGTGAGTTAAAGCAGACACTGAGGAGGTCGGTGTTCCTTTCCACCGAAAACCTGGTTGTGTTGTGTCTATTAGGCTATGAAAACTCTATACTTTAATTTCGGCGCCCCACCGCCTGAGAGAGCGGCGACGGCCGGTACTGCTGGTTGTGTAAATTGTTAATTTGTGGTGGTGGTCTAGCCTTAGCCGTGATTTCCTGAGATTTAATCCTTAATCTTGTTGCTTGTTGACGCCGTGCTAGTTGCTCCAATCCGTCGATATCGTTCTCTATGAGCTTAAGATACGCCTGGATCGCCTGGTAGCTCTCGCCCACAAGCTTAATCTCCTGACGGAGCGGGTGGGCTGCCGTCAGACCAAACTGCCACGAGAGGTTGTCCAACGCATCAGCTAGCGGGTTCTCCATTCGCCCCACGATCTCAGCTAAGAAAAGCGGGACGAAAGACGTTTATATAATCCCGATGCATTAGCTGCAAGCAGGCCCTTTGCGCTCGGTAGCTCGTACAGGGCGCTAGCATCGGCACATACGATGAACCCCGTCCCAATTGAGCTTGGTTTCTGGTCATAAGGCGGGGTCAAGTGGAGATTTAGTGGTCCAAAAGGCGGTATCCAGCGTTTGGCCCTGGTTATTTCATGTGGTGATACATCACCAACATGGTGCATTTAGTCAGGGGAACTTGTTTGGAGAGTGCTGGAAGACATCATTAGTAGTTCCTCTTTGATTCTTTTTACTTCATCGACGTTGGATAGAACGTTTTTAGATCAAGAATGTGATACCATCGGATCTCGTTTGGGGCATACGTTCCCCGTTTCGTCGTCTCGATTGCGCTTTTCAAGTATCTCATACATATATCACATGCGTCAAGTATAGTACAAATATTGTTCTTCATACAATTCGAAGCTTGGCCAGCCTACGATAGCCGTAATGCAAGAGGGAAGTAATAGCAGATTAAGCGATCTACCCTCTGATTTGCATTGTAGTTACTCGAACGGAACCCTAACAATGTGCTTGAAATAATTGTAAATTGAAACTTTTTATGCTGAAAGCCTTCGTCTAAAAATCGTGTTTGTTTTCCGCATAAACCTTATATTGCACGAGCCGCCTAGGATAGCTAGAAACGGCGTTAGGTAGACCTACTTTCTCCAAATTAAATCCCCATTGGGTCCGTAACAATGCCTCTCGTTCTCCATTGTTGAGTCCCTGACGAACCTGCTACTCGTAGAAATCGCCATTTTTCACATAATGCTGCCATAATTTGTTATATTGGAGTAGAACTGGGGTGCTACGCGTACCTTTTGGGCACTAACACCATGTGAAACCATTACACCAAACAACCGCTCGCCAACACTAATTCGCTGAACAGAACCAATTATTCAATTCGTATGGGTGAACCACTTCGAATTTAACTTGGATAGATTGAGTTTGTATTGTGAATAGTAAAATTTCACTACGTGTTCCTTAGCCGCCATGGTACAACCACCGCGCCGGCGTTCGCGTGCGATTAAGTGTCATGAAGGAGTACGTGAGGGCCTACCTGCCACGTCCTCCCCAGACGCGATTGCACTTCAACTGGAAGTTTGTCGTGTCACTCTTCGTGGTATGGGTGAGCGTCATCCATTTTTTCGAGCGGATCCAGCCGGGCTGGTTGATTGGCCGGTGTCAGTGGAACCGGTGGGAGCAGGCTGCCCCCGACCACCACCGGGTTGCTATCATCGCTGATCCTCAGATCATCGACGACTATCTGTATCCTAAGCTTCCCCGCTGGTTCCAGAGGGTGTTTGAGTTCTGTGCCGATAACTACTTGCGGCGAAACTACCGCTACATCGAAGGCAACTTGGACCCCGATACCGTCATCTTCCTCGGCGATTTGTTTGATGGGGGGCGTGAGTGGAATACTACCGGTGGTGACGACGTGTGGTTCAATGAATTCAAGAGGTTTCTGCTGATATACGACTTGAGCCTGAACCGGCGCCATTACTGGAGCGTGCCTGGGAACCATGATATTGGGTTCCAGAATGTCACCAAAGCCAAGAGTGACCGGTTCGCTCAGTTCTTTGGCGAGTTGAACCGCGTGGTGGAGATTGGCAACCACCTGATCGTCATGATTGACACTATCAGTTTAAGTCACCCTAACCCTGAGGTTAATACTGAGGCTAATGAGTTCCTCACCAACTTGGAACAGCATATTGTCCATCCCGATAACCCTCGCATCTTGTTGACCCACGTTCCCTTATACCGGTGGCCTGACAAACAACGCTGCGGACCTCGTCGCGAACGCAACCACCGCTTATTCCCTTTGATGCGAGGCGTTGAGTACCAGACGGTTATCGAGTACGAGATTCTGAAGCGAATCATGCAGACAGTGGGTCCCACGCTCATTCTCGCTGGTGATGACCACGATTATTGTGATATTAAGCAGGAATTTACCCATAAAGGACGCGACATGGTCGCCCGAGAAATCACGGTAAAGGCTGCTGGCATGACTGGCGGGGTCAAATATCCCGCAATCCAGCTTCTCAGTCTTCACACTGGCGGTGACAGCAACTCCTACTCCACAGAAATGTGCTACATGCCTGCCGCCTATCTGCTGGTGAAAACATATGGTTACCTCTTCATGGCGTCAGTAGCATTCTTGGGGCTCCTATACTTGTTCCCCTCCAGACTCAACCATTTCACCAAGCGCACAAACCAATTGCTTAACGACTCACGCTTGAAGCAGCGTTGGTACTACTGGGTCGACGAGGAACGCAACTGGCTGGGATTCTGGTTGCACTTGGTCCTTGCTTTCGTGATCCCAGTAGGGATCTGGATATTCTACGTTCGCAGTCTCTACCACGTGTGACCTCATTGCATTTTACAAAAATATACGATATGACTTTATGAACCTTCAGATCGGATAAACACTGACCTTTCCGGAAGTGCCAGCTTACTTTCCCTAGTTCAACAATAACAGTTCCATCATCTCACCCATGGTACGCTTCTGGTGGAAGTCAGCACGCTTTTGTACGTACTGTCTGATGGTATAAGCTTTGAGCGTAGCAAGCTTACCTTCAGTGACCAATGAGTCGATAAGACCGTACAGCACCGTGAACAAATTGCCGATTTCCTTGAGCAATTGGAATTGATCCGAAAGCTCTTCGATGCCCCATTCGTCAATAACCATTTGGTAATGCAAAACATCCTTGGTGAGAACGATACCACCGGTATAGTCAACGGTGAACTTTTTGTAGTGTTCCAATAATTGGTTCAACACATTCATCCCGATGCGAATAAGTGCATTCTTCAAGTTTGCCCCATTAAGCAGCTTCTGCACGTAATAGTATACTTCTTGCAAGTACTCCAGAAGTGCTTCACAAGCTTCGGTGTCCTCTTCACCATCGATGGCATCGGTCAAGAAATCCTTCTTCTTTTGCTTGGCCAAGAGTGTAGTCACCTTATTGGCAATGATCTCAATGGTGTCATTCAAGATAACATTGAGACCGATTTCACACTGGCTAATGAAGTTGTTGGAAAGCAGAGACATCCGCTGCTTGAGAGCCGGAGTGTTGAGGGCACACGGAATAAAGATTTGCTTGATGACAGCGGTCACAAGATAAAGCATCAGAGTGACATGACCAAATAATGGCATCCACGCCCACAGCTGCGGGTTGTCGAGAAGGCGATCGTAGGAAACCTCAAGTCCACCGAAAATGTATAAGGTACTGAAATCGAAGATAACGATTTCAAGTAGTTCCATAGCGTACTCGGACAGTTTCGTCGGCGCTAATTCCATCATCCGAGCGATCAGCTCGATAGAACTCTTGAGGACTGTCTCTACCGTCAGAATCTCAAGCTGAGAATCGAAATTAGGTTTCGGTTCAAGGTGAGGCTGGTCAGACAGCGACCCCATTGCTGCAGTCACTTTTGATGCTTGCTTTTTGGCATAGATCTTGAACTGTTGCAAGCGTCGGTTTTCGGTTTGGATCTGATCTTGTTGCTTGAAGGGTTCAATGCGTTCGCGGATCTTATCATGTAATTGCCGCAGTTTGAGGGCATCTTCATTCGCGGTAGTGAACTGGTGGATGTTTGAATAAATGATTTCAACCAACAGCCGCTTCTCCCGAGTCCAGTATTGGTCACCAAGGAACTCGCTGAAAATCTCGTAGAACCCCAGATTCACCACTCCCACGACTTCATTGTCGCGATCAAACTCGTTGGATACAAGGAAGTCTTTGATATCCAGAGTGAACTCTTGGACAAGCAAGTACAAGGTGTGCAAAATCCGCACATGCGCCAACATCCCCACCGTAAGCGAGAAACTAAGGATCTCCAGCACCCGCTCGTAGATGATTTGTAAGTAGACACGTTGCAAGAATGTTCGTAAAACTTGAGTTGGCTCCTTGAACACTTGAAGGATGATACGCAGCTGACCTTTGATCGCAAACTTGAGGCGGTCTAAAACTTGCTTAGTACCAGGATCCTCGATCTTGTCGACAAAATTAGGGTCTTGAAGCTTTACCCAAACATCTTCGGCGTCCAATAAACTAGGTTCGGGATCCTCTGGCGGACTGAGAAGACTCAGGTTGGTGTTCTCAATGAAACGTTGCACCACCAGCCCCCCGCCATTGAAGTCAGTGAGCACATCCGCAGTTTCTTTCATCTTGGGAAGGTCATCATACTCCCAAGCTGTTTGGAAATGCTGAAGCCACCGTTGTTCCAGCGACTCGCAGAACTCTTCAATTCTCTCAACACAAGTTTTGGTGTGCTTAGTGGCATCCTCTCCCCCAAGCTTTTGGCCAAGTGATCGTAGCTGTCTCAACGTACGAGCACATTTGATTTGGTCTTCGCGTCGTTTCAGTGACCGTAACAGGTCCAATGGTTCGTAGCCGCCTTTGGTGTAGAACCCGTGGAAGGCTCGGATCAAGAAGATAGTCTCCTGTGAACGGTCTCTCAGCGCACTGATCTTGGTAAGTTTGCTTCCCAACGGGTTTAATCGTTCGACAACCTGAGAGATTTCGGCGTCGACGGCGTCGAAGTCGGCATTGGCCGCGTCGATCTTGTTTGAGAGACGAACGACGTTTTCCGAGTGCTTAAGTTCGAATTGCTCGGTGTCCCGTTCCGAATGAGAGCGCTGTTTTTCTGCTCTGCCTTCCAATTGTTTAAGCTCTCGAAGTGTCAGCTCAAACGTCCGGATGTATGGCTTGGGATCGAGGTACTCCAACTTGTTGACTTCCTGGCCCTTGTTGAAGTGATCTTTGGACAACTCCTCGATGAACAGAGTCACCGACATCCCGTTGAGGAAGTTGTCCAAATTGAGGAGCTTGCGGATGTCTTCATCGAGGTCATAGATCAGAAACGACGACGACATGGCCTTGGTGGTGGCTGGAGAATTTCGAGTGCGGTCATGTGACCTCAAATACCCCCGATGTCAACAACCATGAAGTGGATAAAAATTAAGAAAAATGACCATAGCTTTTGATTGAATATCGATTTTATGTACCCAATTGATGGTCTTACGACTGTTGCTACTTAAGTTTTTGATGACGATTCGCATTCCGTGATTTTTCAGTAATGCTCTCTATTTGAATTGTGAGTCTAAACCAATACTCGAACAGTAGATGATGAAGTAAACTACGAGTTATTTGCTTATTCACCATAGCAATAACAACTCGTGGTGTGTTTTTAGCAATTATTTGCACTAATCGATTTCTTAGAAGTACAAACAACTAATGATCATACAAATCCCACGATAACCAGATCATGGGAATAGTGTAAGACTGGCATTCACTAAGACTCCTCAATTGCTTCTCCATCCAAGGAAACCAGCCCCACAGAGGTGAGAGACTCGCCCCGAGATACAATAATATCCTCAAGATTATGTGAATTCAAGGAAGCCTCCGACACCAACAGCTCTCTGCTAGTGATACTGGTCAAATCCACTGACCGGTGGCGCTGGGGTGTATGGTCTTCCACACTTAAGTCATCGCCTGCGATGGCAATTTCGGCATTTTCCACCACCTGTTGATATCGAGTCTCGCGAGCGATGGCACCCCGAATCTGCGCCAATTGCTTGGTAAGCTGCTCAAAAATAGCCCGCTTCTGTCGGGCCTGTGCTCTGATATTGGCTGCCTCCTTCCGCCACTCCTGGCGTACGCGTTCTTGCTGCTCGAGCTGGGCGCGATAGTGCTCCATCCGATCCTTCTGAGCGTCGAGCAGTACCTTCAACTTAGCCACCAGTGCTTCCGTATCACGGAGATCGCTGTCAATGTCCTCGGTGCCTTGGGCCTCCCGGAGCGTACCCCGTAAAGCGGTCTTACTCAGCATGAGCTAATTGACGAACTGAGAGGGGATTGTTTTTGGTGTCGCATGTGAACCGAAGTGTCGGAGACCGCTGGTCGTGGGCAGGTGTAGTGTATGCCCTAAACAGGTAACCGAGCCTCGAAAAACCTTGTTATTAGGCTTTGGTAAGCGCCAACCCTACGTTTGCTCCGGAAGTTGCGGACATATACGCCGGACATATACGCGTTCTAAGGTTGACGGGTTTCGAGGCGCCCGCTTCCAGTACCATGCTGACGCTTAAGGCAGGGGTAACATTTCGCAACAAAAACGAGGTGACTGTCAGCTTAAGGCCACTAAAAAAGAGAGGATGACAGGTCGATTCGTCAAAGGCCACGGCTATCGTAATCGATCGTAAATTAAGGTCGCGGGCCTCGAGCCCAGAGGTCGTATCCCGAGTTGCCATTGGTTGCGCTGCGAACATACGGTGCCCGTAGCAGAGTCCAAGACCAGTGCTGATAATCGATTACCACGACCGGATATCGAACTTTTCTCAGTACACGCCACAAAACCGCCGACAATAAGGTTCATCTGTGGTCTAGCCAGTGACGTTCGGGTGAAGGTAAACATTATCCCAAAGCAGTCATTTCTTGCCCGTTCGCGTTTTGGCTAGCGGCTACTTACTATGACGATTTCCTTCTATTGTGGGGGTGGTGACGTCTCGGGTCTCGGCGGTGGTCGCGGAGCGGTAGCAGTTTTTGCGAGTTTTACTGAAGACGGAACCATGTGCCCCGCCTGGCTGTACCTTTGGCAAGAAAAGCAGGACATGGTACCCCTGGCGGGCGACGTTAATCTCGCCCCAATGAGGGTAGGCGAGTTAGGGTTAATTGGCAACGCACCCTATTTTAGGCACGCGCAGCAGGGCTCGTGGCGTTTAACTAAATCGCGGTAGGAAAGTGCTGAGGTGAGGGTTTCGTAAAAACGGGCCCCGAAATCAAAAATTCGATGTCACGATATCGTGTCTGAAGATGACGGTTAAAACGGGCGGGACGTACTAAATAAGTCACGCCGCAACTAACGCCGACGAGCAGATACTCGTCAATCGGCCCTGCCGATCGTCACCACGTCAATAAGCCTCCCAGTGGCCTGTGAAGGCTGGCGGGTCCAAGAAAACGAGCACTACCGATTTTGGATATGGTCAAGGGCACTCATCTGTTATGCTTTCCACCTAACGAATAATGTCGGACTAAAGCCAAACACTCCCGCATCTGGTTAAGGGAAATCCCCACCTGCAGCTAGTCCATTGCCTAATCGGGTAATGAGACGTGGGTGCCGACCCCGAGCAAGATCGATATAAAGTGCCAATAAGCCACCACGAGAAACCCACTCCTCAACGTCTTTGTCCTCCCAGTATGAAGTTGAACGTCGCTACCGCCACTGTGGTCTTGGCCGTCCTCGGCTCGGCCGCCGCCGAGTCCGTTGACTACTCGATCTACGAATCGACCGCTATCTCGAAGAGAGAAGCTCAACAGGTCGAATTGACCATCGCTAGATTGGCCGACTTGCAATCGAAGCGCTCGGAACTCACCTACGACGAGTTGGCGATGCGTGAATCGCAAATCGTCACCGACGTGCTCACCGCCATCAAGAACACCAACTTGGCGCCCAAGATCATCAAGTGGTTGGTCACCGACCCCACCCTCGGTCCCTTGGCCTCGAACTTGATCGTCCAATTGATTAAGAACAAGGTCATCAACTTGGGGGCGTTGCTTAAGGCGTTGAACGACTCCGGTCTCGCGGTGCAAGTGGTCAAGGACTTGATCAACGACTGTTCGTTCTACGCTGACATCTACAAGCTTGTGTGGAACAACATCAAGAACTTGCCTCAATTGATCGGCGACATCATCAGCGGCATCGGCAAGCGTGAAGACCTCCCCGAAGGCGGCCTCATCGTCCCCAAGCGTGACTTGGCTCCTCGTGACTCCTCCGACGACTTGGTCACCTCGTTGATGGAATCGTTAAAGGACTCGGGCTTGGCCACTCAAGTGGTGAGACAATTGATCACCGACCAAGGCTTCTTGGAATGGGGTGCCGACCTTATCAAGCAATTGTTCGAAGAAAAGGCCCTTTCGTTGTCCGACGTGTTGGACGCCGTGGTCCAATCTGGTCTCGTCCCCTCGTTGATCGACGGGTTGCTCAACTTCGACACCATCAAGACCGTCATCGTCAACGCCCTTGCCGCCGCCTTCGGCAAGTGTAACGGTTCGTCGTTGACCACCGCCTCGGCGCCTCCCCCGACCTCGGTGTCGAATCCCTTCCCCACCGGCACCGGTACCTCGACCACCGCTGCCCCCGTCCCCACTAGCGGCGGCGGTAACCCCACCCCCACTAAGAACCCCAACCCCAACTGTAAGAAGAGAAGAAGATCTTACAACTACAACTACTAAACGGGTAGTTGTACTCACGGCTCTGCTGGGTAGGGCTTTATACCTTTGTTTGATTTGTTTGTTTTCTTAGTTTTGCAATCTTGGTACATACTGTTAGGTAATACATTTTATCCTAAACTCAATTAGTAAGCGCCTGTTTGAAGTACAGCCTCGTTCAATCTTGACTTCTGTTCGCAATTACCTCTGCGTCAGTGTGGTTGTTGGAAGCACTGTACCGCCAATTACCTTCCCTTCCATTTCTTGCCACGTCTAGGTCGTCCACGCCTACGTCTAGGTCTGTAATCCGTCAGGTGAGGGATAGGCCGGTATTCTTGCATTTTCCGAAAGATATCCATAGTGATCTTTGGTAAGGCTAACAACCGGTCGGCCTTCAGGTAAATGTGAGCGAACTGGCGTTCCTCATACATGAGCATGTACTGGAAAGTCCGAGGGCAGTCCACCTTCCCTTCAAGGCTTCAAGTCGGGGGTGGTTTCTGAAGACACGATTCAACAGTAACCGGTCTGCCTCGTCGGAGACCAACATGTGTGAAAACTCGTTGCGATTAGAAGGTTGGGTGACAGCCATCAACTTCCGGTATACGATGATTCTCAGGGCGAGCGGCTGCTCCTTCACTCGGTAAAAAGCGTCAGCAATCTCTTCAATAGACGCAGGGACCTTGGGGCACACTTCCTTAAATGCCGTCCGCGCCCACAACTTGAAGCGTCCAAGCACCCGCTCTTTGAACACAAAGGCCAGGAAATAGTCAACGTAATCCTCTTCAAAACTTCGAGGAAGATTCGAAGAGCATTCCTCCAACAAGGCTTCGAGTTGTCTGGAGTCGGCGCAAGCAAGATCAAAGGGGCCACCCGAGACATTACCGGCCGCGAGGGATTTGGAAAGGCGGCACCGGAGGTAGCGTTCTCGAGCATCCTCGTCGTCAATGGCAAGAAGCATCTCCCATTCATTATCGAGGATGACCTTATCTTCGTCAAGTGAAACGTATATAACAGTATGGGCTTGGGAAGCCGTCACCACCTGAGGGCGACGGACCCATTCTCGGAAGAGATTGATGATCCATCGCATGTTGGTCGCTTTGCTCACTTCATCCGGGGATCCTTGTTTAACAAGGGTGTCGAAAGCGCTTTCTTGAGGGCCGGTTTCATTGACGTTCAAATCAATTGGCAGGTTAAAGTACGATTGTGGGTCAGCCATTGTAAGCTAAGTCTCTGGATCGACGCTAGCCACGCTACCCAAAGTGGTAGGATAGAGGAGTGGTCTTAGTCTCAGCTTCTGTTGGTTGGGTTAAGCTAAGTAATGGAACCCTTAGATCAGCGACGTAGTGTACTCTCTCACGGGATCTCGAGCATTATATAGCTGCGGGGCAACCGATGCTTTTGCATGTAAGCTCCTCATATTGTCTGATCTCTCGAAGCCCCCAAGTCTCAATGTGGCAGGTTGAAGGCAGTCGCGAGGGGTATAGCCTCGCACGGGATGCCCTGCGACAGTCTGCGCTTAGTATGTATATATATATATTTTCGCGTCGCGTCAACACATTACTGTTAACAATCGCATGCCAGGGTAAGTACAAATCGCTACCACCATCACCAGTGAGCCATACTAACTTCTCAGGGAAACCATTACCATCCAGGCAGGTCAATGTGGTAACCAGGTTGGGTGTCAGTACTGGCAGCAGCTCGCCAAGGAGCACGGGATCGCTGACGACGGCACCTCGGCGCCGTACCCAAACACGGACGAATACCGCTTCATGACTCGATCCGACCAACCAAACTACCAGAATGACCGCACCGACCGTCCTGAGCTTTTCTTTACTCTCTCCGACCAGGTAAAATACACTCCCCGTGCGGTCCTCATCGACCTCGAACCGCTGGTGGTGACCAAAACCACCAGTGTACTCCCAATGATCAATCCTCGCAATGTGCACTTATCAGACAAAGGCCTGGGAGCGGGTAACAATTGGAGCAACGGTTACGTTTACGGTAACGAACACCAAGAGGAGCTTTTCAACATTATCGATCGAGAAGCCGATAAGTGCGACAACTTGGGCAACTTCCAGCTTTTTCATTCGGTCGCGGGGGGTACTGGGGCTGGTGTAGGTTCGTTGGTGTTGGAGCTTCTCAGTGACCGGTACGGCCAGAAGAAAATGATCAATACGTTCAGTGTGTTCCCCTCTAATGAAGATACCAGTGATGTGGTGGTGCAACCGTACAATACGATGCTCACGCTCAAACGCTTGATCGATTATTCAATGGCAACTTGCGTCTTCCACAACGATGCCCTCAACTCAATCGAAAACATCCTATTCAACAACAAGAGTCTGAGCAACCTACAGCGATTTGAAGCTACTAACATACTTATTTCCTCAGTCTGTGCCCTGGTCCTGAACCCCCTAAGATTCCCCAACTACGCTTATGCCCTGTACGAGCTGATCTTCTCAACCCTTATTCCTAGCCCCGAACTCAAATTTTTGCTGTGTCTGCTCGCTCCGTTCACTAATGAGTTGCTGAAGCACCCTTACATCAATGAGTTTGATATGGTTTTGGAGTTGTTCAAAGATGATTACAAGATGAACCGAGTGGAAAGGCCACAGGAGTTGCGACACATACTGATTATGAATTATCTTATTGGCGACAATTTGAACCAACAAGATATACGCAAGGCCGTGGCTAAGATCAGCCAACGTGTCAATTTCGTCGACTGGGTGCCTCTGGCAATTCAAATGGTGAACGGCCGTAAATCACCCTTCGTCAGCCAGCCAAACGAACAAAGACAATTGAGTGGCATCCAGCTTTCAAATAATACTCTGATGATATCCATGTTTGAAAAGATTAGCGAACAATTCGATCGGTTGTACAAGCGAAAGGCTTATATCAACAATTACCTCCCTGTTACGATCAGCGACGAGGCATATGAGGTGGAACTGATGTTTCAAGACAGCAAAGAATCGGTGTTAAGGGTAATTGACGAATACAAAGCGTGTTGTAAAGCGGATTATCTTCTTGACGATGTTTTAGATGAGGATTATATGGCCTCTTGATGACGCCAGACAATTATCGATGTATCTCCTCACTGGTGGTGGAGATACTACCTCGCTCGAATCGAACCAACCGCTATGTACGTGGCTACCCTGCTGAAAATAAAGTCTTTGCGCTACAAGTATGTCCGGTACGTACGACAGGGTTGACAATCTCATGTATATGAGGTGCCTGCAGAGAAAACTGTGGCGGGACTCTTATCTCTCATTTGGATTTAAGCTTCGCTGCCTGATAATAAACACATTCAAGGATATTTTAATCAACCAGTAGATCTTTTAGACGACTAGCGGACTTTGTCTTCGGCATTGCGTCATGCACCGCAAAACTGATAAGAGATCACCAGATGGTTGAGCGAGAAATAACTATTCGTTTTTGTTGGCCTCGTCGAATTTTGAATTGAAAAACTTATGGGCCCATTCTCTACCATCTTCTTGATATTTGAAAGCCGCACCGAGCACTATTAATAATCATGACATATCCCGATATCTTAAGTCAACGGTCAAAATGCCGTAAAGTTCCTTTGTTTATGACACCGGTTAAGTTTCCTGAAGGCTTCACCCCAGCAAAGAACTCAATTACTTTGAATTACGGCGTCCCGAACCAGGGATTCTTTCCAATTGCTCAGGTGCAAACCTCAGTGCTTGACGCCCCCTTTGGTGCCATTGACAACAACAAATACACCGTGAATACCGTCGAATCCGATCCTAATACCATTGATTTGGCCAACGGTTTACAATATGCCAATTCGAATGGTCTTCCCCAGATCAGAGAGTTGGTGTCTCAGATTGTCGAGCGCACTCATACCCCGGGTTATCCCGAATGGAAAATCACCTTATGTTGTGGAGCCTGTGATGGCCTCAATAAAGTGATGAATGTGTTATTAGATCCGGGCGACACGGTGTTGATGGAAGAGTTCACTTTCACTCCCGTGAAGGGCTACGTCGACAACTTCCAAGCTAAAGTTGTACCAGTGAAATTAGATCTCACCGGCAAGGGCTTAGACGTTGACTACTTGACAGACTTGCTTGCAAACTGGGAGTCCAAGTACCCTGATCACAAGCGTCCCAAAGCATTTTACACCATTGCTCTGGGGCATAACCCTACCGGCATTACGCAACTGAAGCAACAGAGACAACAGGTGCTTGACTTGGCGAAGAAGTACAACTTTGCCATCATTGAGGATGACCCCTACGGGATGCTTCAATTCCCAGACTATGAACTGAAACAATACTCTCAACCCACTCTGGTTGACACATTCCTTGAGGAATTGGTGGAAAGCTACCTGGAGTTGGATACCGAAGGTCGGGTGGTCAGAGTTGAAACATTTTCCAAGCTTTTTGCTCCAGGCTTGCGATTGGGATATATTATTGCCAACCCGGAGGTGATCAAAGCCATCGACGCTGTCAGTGACGTCACCACTAGAGCGCCTCTGGGTGTACTGATGCTTATGGTCAATAACACGATTCGGAACCAGTTTGGTGGGGTTGATGGCTTCATTAGATGGGTGATGAAGGTGAAGGAAGAGTACCACATTCGTCGTGACAAGCTCTTGGACGCCCTCTATCATTCCGAGGCTTACAAAAAGGGCTACATTTCATTTAACCCACCCCAAGCAGGGATGTTTGTCAGTGTGGTCGTCAACTTCGGTTGCGAAGCTGCAAAGTTGGCAGAGGAAGTTAACAATTTGTTGATTTATTTAGCTGCGGTTGGGGTAAGCGTGGTAGCTGGGTTAGGCTTATCTGTCGACCCCGAGTTCTCAGGAACCCGCGCCCAGTTTTTCCGGCTTACATTTGCTTGTGCTAGTACTCACGAGGAGTTATCAGAAGGGGGCACCCGCTTCTGTAATGCGGTAGAGCAATTCTTTGCTAATGGCCACGTGTGGAAACAATAGGCCATACATCTTAAACTTCATTCACCATAGCGAGACATTGATCAATACACGCTTCCATATTACCATTATTCAAGTGGATAAGATCTGTAATAATGGCAGCATCCATAGACGGGAACATCTCAGAGAGCAACAGAAGAAGCTCGGCAGTATCGGGTTGTTGCAGTTGCGCTTGTTGCTCGTTTGCCAGCAGTGGTATAGGTCCGTCAAAGGGCATTGGGCGAACTGGCTCAAGGTCCAGATCCTTAGGTGCGGGGGGCGGTGGTGATGGTGTCAAAAGGTTGGAAATACCCTTAGTAAACATTTCGGCACTTGTAAGTAAAACACTGCTTGGTGAAGTTCCTGCTCGTTCTTCCGGAACTCGTTGGGGAGTAGGCTGAACAAGATGAACTTTCTGCGTCTTTTCAGCCTCCCATGCTTCCATGTGAGCTTCATATTCTTTAGGATCAATAGTCAAATCAGAGAGACTCAAATTGGTAATGAAAAGCATTGCTGCCTCAAGACTCAGTAAGTAGTACAGTGTTTCTCCACGGTGAAGCCATTCATCACTGCGATATTGTTGAATGTAATGAATGTTCGATATCAAATTCGGAGTTTTCGCCTGGAATATTATTAAAATCAACAAGGGAATAAAGGCATCCGCATTGAGCTCCTGATTGTTTGCTTTGAGAAACGAAAAGATGATTTTGCAGGCATTCAAAATACAAATGATTTTGTCACGAGGCGCCCGATATCGATTGAGCTTATTGAGCTCAGTGACTGCTAACTCAGTGAATTCAACCAGCTCTTTCGTCGTTTCCAAGCTGACTTCCAAATGAGTCAGATTGACCCAAGAATATTTCTCCAATTGACGACTGAACTTTCTGTCTGCCTCCAAGTCTTCCAAGTATTGGTGTGGAATTAATCTCCCCTGGCTGCGATTTTCCACCTCGGGGGGGAAACAATGCTCATATAACCGATTCATGATAAGCTTTTCCAAACCCTCACGCAGGTTTTCACGATCACGTTCATCCATCAGCGCAAACGGTTCGAATAATGCAAACTTTTCATTTATGAAAACTTTGAAGTCAGCGACTGTTTTCACTCTTTGAGAAGCACTAAGTGTATGTCCTTGTCGGCTCATATTGACCAAGAACAGCCTAATATAACGAACAAGGGGATCTGCCAGCTTCTTTCGTAAGTGATTGAGGAACACTTGGAAATCAAAGGGGCGATGTGACACTTGATACTGCTCCAGAGCATCAATCTCCACGGACGGTTTGCGTTTATCGAATTGGGAACTCTTACCACGAGGTATTTTACCCTCTTTATTTTGAGTAGGTGTGGGAATAACGATTTCCCTCAATGCAGGAGACGATGATGTACCAACAAGGTCGTCAATGGGAGCAACTAGAGATGTACGCCCAGATGTCGATGTTTCCGGAATATCAACAGGGCCCGATTGACGTGGTTGCAGTTTTCGCCGAGGTTTGATATTGCCCTTGGGAGGTACTGGAGGTGGAGCTTCATTAGCTTGAGGTTTCAATACTCCAAAGTCAGCCATAGAAGCGTCTTTAGCAGGATGATGCAGTATAGTTGGAATGGATCTGGCAGCTTCACTTGATGTGATTTCCTCGTTACTCTCAGGAATATCCGACAGCTTTTCTATGGATTGCAAATCTTTCGGCGCTTTAGATTCGTCATTCTTGATTGTTTGATCATTGTTTATCTCCTCGTTCAGTGTTGCATCTTCTGAAACATGCTTTATGTCAGCGGAGCTCGTATTTTGAGGCTCTGGTTCGACTGCTTTATCCTGCTTTTCGGAAGTATTGTACAATTCATCTTCATCATCCGCGGGGTGGTTTTTCAGCTCACCATTCTTATCCTCATCCTGCTCTACAGGCTTGCTTGTAGACTCCGCAGCAACCACATCCTCTGATTTGGATTCCTCTTGCGCAGGAGGATTCAAATCAATTGTTTCTTGCTTTGTACCCTTGTTAACGTCTTCTTTATCCTCGTTATCATCGTCGTTGTTGTTGGGGTCAATTGCATGTTCGGCTTCCTCAGTTTCAGCGTGCGCAGTAGGTTGTGGTGCCACATCTGCATCATCCACTGCTTCTGAAACAACTGGAGTGGTTTTCTCCTCTGTAGAGTTGTCTAATGATGAAGAAGTGGGCTGTTCGTCAACAGTTGACTTAGCTGCTGACAAAGGCTCCCACTTTTCGTTTTCCTCGCTTGCATTAGCTGCGACCGCTTTGGCTTCGTTCTCTCCGAAAACGTCCAGTTGATCATCTTTAGAGGTTTTGATAGCTTTCGTGGAGTCTTTGTCTTCTTTATAATCATTCAATTGCTCCTTTGAGTCGAGGGCCACGTTGTCGTCTTCCTTGGCCTTGTTCGTGGAAGTCTTATGTGAATCAACCTTCACTTCGGACGAAGACACCGCTGAAGCATTGGATGAGTCGCTTTCATCCCGAGTCTCAAGGCGAGACAGCAGTTGGTTAAACCTGCCGAGCAAACCAAGTGCATTGCTAGCACCCGGAGCGTCACCCGCCGCTCGGCTTGGTGGCGGATCCGCTGAGAGAGACTCTCCCGTAGTAGTAGACGTGGTAGCCTGTGACTTGAACGGCAAAAAACCATTCATCTTCGGTAATTGGCCTCGTGCTGCTGGGTCACCTCTGTCGTTACTTGGTACAAGTGGAGTGTATATGGCACCGGTCCGGGTGCGCACTCTTACACCCGAAAGGGTTATACATCTTCAACGCTGGTATATAGAAAGCGAAGTGTGGCTTTTATCGTCACACAATCGTTATCATCGTTTGTTTACTTGAGTCAGTGCGGTTCTATTGCAGGGTTCTGACAGTTTACCATATGCTTGACCTTAATAGGTATGACACTCTCAAACCTCTACCAGTTCAAATCATGGAGACACAATCCAAATTTAAGTCAGACTTTTGGCAAAGAACAGGTTTCTAACATAATTGACCTCATCAAACGCTAGCCATCACCCTCATTACTTTCTGAGTTTACGTCTACTTGTTGCAACACCTACTCTCATCTCTCCTGTACACGGTCGCACCTCTGCTCATCGCAACGGATCAACCTTATCAAGCATCGAGCCATGGCTGGGGGGACCTCACACCGATCCACGCTTAAAAAGGACCATAAGCGGTTCAAGCTGCGGCACCTGACCAAAGGTCAGCTCAAAAATGAGCACAAGGGTAAGGTGGAAAAGACCGCCGCCGGCAATAAAGGCCGAAGTCGCCCTTTGTCTAAAATCGAAAGACGCAACCTCGCCAAACAGTTGAAGCAAAACAAGATCGATGACACGAAACAAATCCGCCGGATGTACGATCTGGTGGAGAAGAACGTGTGTGTGATTTCACTTACCGAAGATGTCGATCCCGTCGTGATCGCACAACGATTACTGGGCAGTGAAGACCAATTGGCATACCCTTCGATCACCGTGGTGAAGAACACTCGGTTCAAGCTGACAATGCGTTTCGTCATCCCCGACCACTCCCTGATGCTCGCAATCTTGGACGCTGCTCGCGTGGCTGATTTTGTCGTGTTTGGGTTGTCGGCCACCGAGGAAGTGAGCCCGCAATTTGGTGAACAAATATTGCGTGGGGTCATTGGCCAAGGTATTGCTCTGGCAGTGGGGGTGCTTCCCAACTTGGTGCTGGCCTACCCCAAGCGTAACTTACAATTGGATGTGCGCCAATCGCTTCAATCGTTCTTCAACCACTTCTTCCCCGCCGAAGACAAGTTGTATGCCTTAGAAGTGGAGCTGGAATTGCTCAATTGCCAACGGGTGTTCTGCCAACGCATTCCTCAGCAGATCACTTGGAGAGACCACCACCGCGGGTGGTTGCTTGCTGACAATGTTGGCCACGACGGCAACCACTTGGTGTTGGAAGGGGTGGTGAGAGGTATTGGTCTTCACGCCAACCGTTTAGTTCATCTTCCGAACTTTGGTGACTTCCAAATTGCTAAGATCGAGCTTAAGGAAACTGAATACCTTCCCGATGAAGACCGGGATACTTTAGATCAATTGAACCCTGAAGTCGATATGGAAGACGTTAACGATGACATCGAAGACTTCTACAGCGAAGGTGTTCGTATGGAAGGGCGCCTGTATATTGACGCTGGCAACAACCGTCCCACTCGTCGTTTTGCTTTGCCTAAGGGGACTCTGGACTACCAAGCTAAGTGGTTGATTGACGACGTGTTGGAGGATGTCAGTGACGTTGAAGAAGAATCTGAATTCACTGGGTTCGACAACGACGACGCCATGGAAGACGACCAAGACGTTGAATTCGACGATACCGCCTCCATGGCCCCTACGGAAGCCACCGGGATGCACATTGATCTTTCGCCCGAGGAGGAAGAGAGACAGCTTGCGGAGTTCCGTAAACTCGAACACGAAGACGCCGAATTTCCCGACGAAATTGAATTGCACCCCAGTGAATCGGGTAAGGAGCGTCTCGCGGCTTACCGTGGGGTCAAATCCTTGGCTGGTTGCGACTGGGATTACGATGAATTCGATGTCGAAGCTCCTCAAGAGTGGCTGAAATTGTTACGTGTTGGTAACTACAAGGCTACCGCCAACAAGTTGCACAAGGATGCCGAAGCCGCCGCTCAATGTGGCATGGGTACCCGCGTGAGACTCTACATCGACGCCCCGGCAGCAGTGATGGAATCGTTGAACCCCCAGGTTGCCCCCGTGGTCGTGTTCGGCTTGATGCCCCACGAGAACAAGTACGGGGTGTGCAACTGGCAATTCTCGAAGTGGGAAGACTACGAGAAGCCCATTGCCTCCGAACAACCGCTCGTGGTGCAATACGGGTTCAGAAGAATCATCATCAACCCGTTGTTCTCGGGCCAACAGCATCACAAGAACAACGTCCAGAAATTCGAGTCGTTCGTCCACGACCTGGCTGTGGCCACGGCGTTGGCCCCCGTCACGTTTTCGCAGGCGCCGTCGCTTTTCTTCAAGCCCACTTCCGAAGGCTTGGGCGTGGAGTTCGTCGGGCAAGGTACTTTCCTCAACTGCGATCACACCCGTATCATTGCTCAAAGAGCTGTTCTCACCGGTCACCCGGTCAAGATTCACAAGCGGGTGGTCACGGTGCGGTACATGTTCTTCAACACCGACGACATCAATTACTTCAAGGCAATCCCCTTGTTCACCAAGCTGGGGCGCACTGGTTTTATCAAGGAGTCGTTGGGTACTCACGGTTACTTCAAGGCTACTTTCGACGGCAAGTTGACTTCGCAAGACATTGTTGGCATGAGCATGTACAAGCGGGTGTGGCCCCGTATGGCTCAGGAGTTTACTCCGTAAATTGTATATTACACGCTGATAGTTTCATTATTCAGACAGCACATAAGAATTCATATATAATGCTGAGACTACCAAGCGACTACAGTAATGATCCTTTGGATGACTATGTGATTCCAAATTCTATGTATTACTTATCATTTAATCCTATACGTTAGTTTCTCCACGAAACATACTTGCCGTCATACTTACTAGCATCACCGTGGACAGCAAGAGCCGCGGTCACCTTTTCAGCCACACCGGCCTTGTGGTTGGTCTTCTTGTCAAAGTGGGCCACCACTTCCTTGGGGGTGGGCAAGTACAGACGGTTGGAGCCATCGGCACCAGCAATGAATTCAGCGATCTGTTGGTTGGTGGGCAAACCCATGTGGAAGGGGTATTGCTTGAAATCAATGCCGAAGTACTTGTTTAAGAGGGGTTCTCTCAAGTACTTGGTGGTGTTGATCGAGGGAGTGACCACCTTTTGCACGAACGCATCATCAATCTTCGAGGCCGCGGTCCATTCGGGGAAGAACGGTTCCTTGATCTTCTTGATCAACTTGTGCGAGACACCCTTGACAAAGTCGTTGTCTTCGACGGGGATGCATTGGATGTTGGTGGCAGCAATCATTTCTTGTTCCAATTGCTTGCGGATGGTGTTGGTAGAACCACGCTTCAAAAGTTCAAAGGCAACCTTGAGCGACGAAGTGGGTTTCTTCTTCAAGGTGTCCAACAACTTGGCGGCGAAGGGGCTGCCTTGCTTTTCGAGGTATTCAAACACGGATTCAATCAGCTTTTGCGAGAAAGCGGCGTTGATGGTGGCAAGTTCATCGCCAGTGAAGGGGAACTTGGCGCCTTCGGGCAATTGGTTGACCGAGAATTCTTCAAGCACTTGGTTGACTTGAGCAAAGTATTCCAGGTTGTTGTAGATGACATCCATGCCGGCGGTGGCTTGGCCGTTGATCTTGGGCGGTTGCAAGTTAGCCAAACGGTTGATCAAGGCATCGATTTGGTCCAGGGGAACAAAGTGGGTGGCGAAACCAGCGAGGTAAGCGTCAACACCGGACATGACCGAACCGGTAAGGGCGTAGTAGTAACCAAGCTTGTCGTCCAACTTGGGCAAGAAGAAGGTGGTACCGACGTCGGGAAAGAAACCAATGTCCATTTCGGGCATGGCAAGCTTAGTCTTTTCGGTAGCGACACGGAAAGGAGCGTGTAACGAGATACCGCAGCCACCACCCATGGTGATCCCGTCCATAAGGGAAACGTAAGGCTTGGGGAAGGTGGAGATCAAGTAGTTCAAGTTGTATTCCTTCTGGAAGAAGTCAGCCCCGTAGCCAGGGTTGCCGTCGACGATGGATTCGGCGCAGGCAGCGACGTCACCACCGGCGCACAACGCCTTCTTGATGGTGGATGTGAGGATGGTGACTCCCAGCACCGACGATTGCGCTTGCAGAGTCAACTCAGGCAACATCAAGTCGACCATCTCGGTGTTAAGCGAATTGAGCTTCTTGGGTCTGGTACGTTAGTATTTGTGTCTAGTTGAGCCATGAATGAAGGGGACGCGGACAGTTTTTTGGTATATCACTATCCTCTTCTTTCAAACTGGGAACCTCATCACATACCTGTTAAGCTCAATGATGCGAGCATTATTCTTGGTCTTGAAAAGAACCACCGGTTCGGATGCGGACATGGCGAGGGTTCTTGCAAATCGGAGTGAGCGAGACATCGTGAGGCGATCCGGCTCTAATTTATATGGGATAATATATACAGGCGAGGGGAACCGAGCGGGGGATTGTTCCACGGAAGAATTGGTAGTGCGAAAAGGTCAGAGCTCTTGTATATTGTGTGCAGGATGGGACTCTACGACGACCAATCAGCACTAGGTTGAGCTAATGGCGGCTAGTGGTGGTTAAAGCGGCAAGCGAGGTTGACTCAATTTATTCTATGCGATTTTCAAACTGAAAATATAAATAGGTACAGACTCCGCCAGCGGCCCGCGTTATCTCGGTGTGGCTGGTTGCCGGGAGATTGCGACATACACGTCCCACCGCCAGTCCGCACCGCCAGGGACAGCTTTTTGTGGGGTAGCCGCCGACACCCGAGCATAAGTAACCCCGGTGAAATTTCCGCGAAGGTTTTCAAAACCGAGCAATCTCCGACAACACAGCTGAATTCGCCCATTTCCAATGGTAATGGCGGAGCCGATCTTGCTCACGTCAGACAAATACTGGGTAGGGGTAGTTTTCACATGATTAAATTCGCGGCAACTTCCGGTAAGCCGCAGGCGATTATCAGTGGAGGTTTTTGTGGCGCCCAATTTATAGATCGTACTCAAGAACAAGATGACACTCTTGGCGGGACTCGCCTCGCTCAGGCAACTTGTAGTCAAACAACTTCGCCTGGTCATACAGAGCTACGTAGAGGTGGTGTTGCTGGCTAAACCCAAGTTCCACTCGAGCGTGGGTTCCAGCTAGGCGGACATAGGCGAATGCTCGCTTGGGCTCAAGAAAGTCCTTGTAGGGAAGTTTCTTCATTATACCCAGCATCACCAGCCGTTTTTTCCCTTCCTTTGCCACTAACAAATTCGCGAGATTATCATTGAGTTCGTCTTCGTTGTCATCGGGCTTAGATACTTGATTTCCATCAAGCAAGTCAAACAAGTGAACGGTATTCTCCAGAGCACACCCAAGAACTTCCGCTTCTTGGTCGAATACTAACAGAGCAATTGCAGTAGGATTGTGGCCCCGACGAAACGCTTGAACCGAGGTGATCGCCCCCAGCTCCCAAGTGAAAACTCTCACCACTGTACCTTTAGTCAGAGCCGTAGCAATGGAAAGCTTGGGCGAAGAGCTCGTACCATACACAGTGATGTGGCCAATGGTACTATCGTGGGCTTTAAATGCAAATAGTGGCCGGCTATCTATGGTGTCATATAGCACAACATAGCCGGTCTTTTTACGCAATTGATGCGGCGTTAACGACTTACCGTCGGGATGATACACTGGGAATTCACTCTCCCATATCGGCAGATTTTTGTCTATGTTCTCCACGGCGAAAGCCAAGGTTTTGTCGTCCCGAGCCAAGTCGTACGGACCAGACTTGGCCGCAATTGTCCCCACCAGTTTCACCTGGGAGAGGTCGTAAATGCTAAGCGTGGACGTGGTAGCCACCACAAGTCGTTTTTTGTTGAGCTTGACCCCAACAATGTCTTCGGAAAACCGTAGAGTACACACTTTAACGTGTTGCTTCAAATTGTGGATCTCTACCTGACGAGGCTCGTTCTCTGGAACAATAATCGTAAGCAGAGTACTCAATAGCATCTTCAAAAACTTTGTGGGACACTCACTAGCGTCCATATCCACATCGTCGGGCGCCAGGTCCAGCAGCACCACCAGCTTCCGCCGAGCGGATTTGAAACTCAGATAGTATTCGCCAAAAGGATCGGTGGTGTAGATGGTATATCCGGTTGGCGTTGCCACCATCAACAGGGTGTAGTCCTGGTTGAACTCGAGATCGTTGATCATGTGGGGAAGGAGGGGCGGGACAAAATGTGGCACTGAACAATGAGCCTAATGTGGATGATGGTTGTGTATCGGAAATTCACGAGTTGGTCGAGATGAATACCACTCGAAACTGTTACAACTACTTTTATCAAAAATGTGTGTTAGAGTGTTCGTAAGAGATTTCCTTGCCTTGTGAAGCCAACCTTGGGACCAACGCGTGTAGACTTCACCTGCAAATGATTAAAGCAACGCAACCTCTAGTAACATAAATCCCTAATAGTGACGTATACCAAGTTCCTAAACGTAAACTTCACTCATCGTTCAATAAAGTATATCGCTTGAGGTTTGCCCTTGGTTGTTCCACCGCCTTCTCGCCATAGCGCCGGTCGCATTTTTGCCACTCACCGCGAGATCGCAGTTAAACCCACTTTAAACCATGGCGTCCGAAGACGATGAGTTGCTCAATGAGATCATGCAACTGCTGACGGAGGATATCATCAACCGGACAAAGCTTCTTGATAACGACATTAAGGTGATGCGCCTGGAGCTGCAGCGGTTGACCCACGAGAAGACAGTGATGCTTGAGCGCATCAAGGACAATCAAGAGAAGATTGCCAACAACAAGCAGTTACCCTTCCTTGTTGGTAACGTTGTTGAGTTGTTGGACCTTGACGTCGACAAGGAACTGACGGAACAGGGCGCCAATGTCGACCTCGACGCCACCCGCACCGGCAAGCTGGCGGTGATCAAGACGCTGACGCGGCAAACCATCTTCTTGCCGATGATTGGTCTTGTAGACCCTACAAAGCTCAAACCTAACGATTTGATTGGGTTGAACAAGGATCTGTATTTGATCCTCGACACATTGCCTCTGGAGTACGACTCGCGAGTCAAGGCGATGGAGGTGGACGAGAAGCCTACCGAAGACTACAGCGACATTGGGGGTTTGGACAAACAGATCGAAGAGTTGATTGAGGCGGTGGTATTGCCAATGCAACAAGCAGACAAATTCAAGAACTTGGGGGTAAAGCCTCCGAAGGGGGCCCTTATGTACGGGCCTCCGGGTACAGGGAAGACGTTGTTGGCCAGAGCATGTGCGGCTCAGTCAGGGGCTACTTTCCTCAAACTTGCTGCTCCTCAATTGGTGCAAATGTTCATTGGTGATGGGGCTAAGCTTGTGCGGGACGCGTTCGCTTTGGCCAAAGAGAAGGCACCCACGATTATTTTCATCGATGAATTAGATGCCATTGGTACTAAAAGATTCGACTCGGATAAGCTGGGTGATCGTGAAGTGCAAAGAACTATGTTGGAACTTTTGAACCAGTTGGACGGGTTCGGCTCTGATGACCGGGTAAAGGTGTTGGCGGCGACGAACAGAGTCGATACTTTGGACCCCGCTTTGCTTCGACTGGGTCGTCTTGACCGTAAGATCGAGTTCCCGTTGCCTCTGGAAGAAGCGAGAGAGCTGGTACTCAAAATTCATGCCCGTAAGTTGAACTGCGACAACAACCTGGTTAACTGGAGAGAGTTGGCGCGACTGACCGATGAATTCAACGGTGCGCAGCTTAAGGCTGTTACCGTTGAAGCCGGTATGATTGCTTTGCGTAATGGCAAGCTGATCATCAAGCACGAAGACTTCGTCGAAGCCATTGCCGAAGTGCAAGCCCGTAAGAGCAAGAGTGTAAACTTCTACGCTTAGTGTAATACACAAATAGTTCCGTTTATATTCCCATGTAAAATCATCATTATTAATGCTGCTTCTTCAATTCTTCCTTCAACTTTTCGGCGAACTCCAGTTGGTTGTTGTCATCTTCCCAGTCTTCTTCCCAAAGGTCTTGGCTCACTTCTGGCCGCGGCGCAGACCACTTGGCATCTTCAGGGAAGTCTTCGAACTCGTCGTCTTCTTCAAGGGTCTTGACAAATTCAGGCATTGAGGATACTTTTCGTTGGTGGCAAACTGTTACACTGGAGAAGATGGTTCGCACTGATTACGTCGACCTGCATGTAAGTGGCTGATCAGTGTCTCTTCAGCCACAACACCTCTCGCCTATACCCTCAAAATATCACTGGCCATGTTCTAATTAACGTCAGAGATTGACTTAAACTCTTACTGAGAAGATGTGGAGCTTTTGATCAATTCGAGATTGCAGCTGGATCTACCAATTTTCAGCCTCAATAAAAGTGTTGACAAATTTATTGCACTGGTATTCGTTTGGGACTTTGAGTTTAAACCTCTCTTTAGAACTACAATCACACTTAACAACTGGCTGACGTCATATAATGACTCAATTTTTTCGGTCATCCTTTAACTGATTGTCGAAGGGTTTTGACGTTCTTAGATATTCGGTGCGCACACGAGCCCTGCTCGCGGCTCTCATCGCGTATATACCAAAAATCGCATCAGATCTCCTCACCGTCCTCATGAAAGAAGTGGTCGTGGATGAGCCTCCCAAGTGCATCAAGGGGCTCGACTTCGGTCTGTTTGCCGCTCGTGATATCTTGGCACAGTCCGAGGTTGAGGTGACCACTCGAGATCTTTACGATCTCGAGAAGGGCCGTACACCCAAAGAACATGGTGCTCTAGATACCAAGATGGGGATCTCGCTGAACTCGCTGGAGTGTGCCACTTGTCATGGAAACTTGGCCAGTTGTCACGGTCACTTTGGTCACGTCAAGTTGGCCCTCCCAGTGTTCCACGTGGGATACTTCAAGCAGATCATCCAGATTCTTCAGCAGATCTGTAAGAACTGTGGTAAGGTGCTTTTGGACGATAACATGCGCCAGCTGTTGGGAGCGGAGTTACAACGGTGCACCAACGGTGCTGGTTCCGACAACTTGCGTCGCATGAAGGCGCTCAAGAAGATTGTTGACCAGTGTAAGAAGACGCGGCGATGCTTCTACTGTAACCACGTGCAGGGGGTGGTGAAGAAGGCTGCGCTGGGTAGTCTGGGTCCCGCTGGGCTTAAGATTGTCCACGATACTTTCCGTTGGATCGGGAAGAAGCCCACTCCGGAAAAGGAAGTGTGGGATAAAGAGTTCGAACAGGTTTGGTACCGTAACCCCGAACTCGAAAAGTACCTGAAGCGGGTGATGGAAGACTTGAACCCGCTTAAAGTGCTCAACCTTTTCAAACAGATCCTGTCGTCCGACTGTTTATTGTTGGGAATGGACCCTGAGCGTGGTCGCCCGGAAATGTACATCTGGCGATTCTTGCCCGTTCCCCCTGTGTGTATCCGTCCCTCGGTGATGATGGATGCCCAATCTAACGAAGATGACTTGACGGTGAAGATCACCGAAATCGTGTGGACACTGTCGATGATTAAAGCTGGGATCGAAAAGGGTATTGGTATCAACCAATTGCTCGAACAGTGGGATTACTTGCAATTAGCGGTGGCGATGTACATTAATGCTGACTCCGTTAACCCGGCATCATTACCTTCTCTGAGCTCGGGTAGTGGGGCTAAGGCTAAGCCTATCCGTGGTTTCTGCCAGCGGTTGAAGGGTAAACAAGGTCGTTTCCGTGGTAACTTGCTGGGTAAGCGTGTTGACTTCTCGGGGCGTACCGTCATTTCCCCCGACCCTAATTTACGCATTGACGAAGTTGCCGTGCCCAATCTTGTTGCTAAAGTGTTGACTTACCCGGAACGAGTGACCCGATACAATAAGCAAAAGCTTCAACGACTTGTGCGCAACGGTCCCGATGTCCACCCTGGTGCCAACTACTTACTCAAACAAAATGAAGAAGCAAAGCGTAACTTAAGATATGGTGACCGCCAGAAGTTGGCGAAGTTCTTGGCCATTGGTGATGTGGTGGAACGTCATCTCGAAGATGGTGATGTGGTGTTGTTTAACCGTCAACCGTCATTGCATCGTCTTTCAATTTTATCGCATTACGCCAAGATTCGGCCCTGGAGAACGTTCAGACTTAATGAATGTGTCTGTACTCCCTACAACGCCGATTTTGATGGTGACGAAATGAACTTGCATGTCCCCCAAACCGAAGAAGCTCGTGCTGAAGCTATTAATTTGATGGGGGTGAAAAACAATTTGTTGACTCCCAAGTCGGGTGAACCGATTATCGCCGCCACTCAGGATTTCATCACTGCATCGTACTTAATCTCCCACAAGGACTCCTTTTACACTCGAGCAGAATTCTGTGAACTTTTGGCGATGATGAGTGACGCCAACCTCAAGTTTGATCTTCCTCCTCCCGCCATCTTTAAGCCTGAACGCATGTGGACTGGTAAGCAAGTGTTCAGCATGTTGATTCGTCCCAACCGCCAGCTGCCAGTGGTGATCAACTTGGATGCCAAGTGTAAGACTTGTGAAAAGGCTGATCCTCCCGAAATGTCTCCCAACGATGGGTATGTTATCATCAGAGGCTCGGAAGTGTTACTGGGGGTGATGGACAAGTCGCTTTTGGGTGATGGTAAGAAGCATTCCGTGTTCTACACGATTTTGCGAGACTTTGGTCCCGTCGAAGCCGCCGAGGCCATGAACCGGATGGCCAAGTTATCTGCCAGATACTTGGGTAACCGTGGTTTCTCTATCGGTATCTCTGACGTCACTCCCGGTGACGACTTGAAGCGTCGTAAGGAGTTGATGGTCGAGCGGGCCTACCTCGAGTGTGACCAATTGATTGACAAGTATAACCGGGGTAAATTGGAAACTCAACCCGGTTGTAACGAAGAACAGACCCTTGAAGCGAAGATTGGTGGTCTTTTGTCCAAGGTCAGAGAACAAGTCGGGGAGGTGTGTATCAAGGAGTTGGATGCTCTTAACGCCCCGCTTATTATGGCCACATGTGGGTCGAAGGGGTCGACGCTTAACGTCTCGCAAATGGTGGCGGTTGTCGGTCAGCAGATTATTTCTGGTAACCGTGTTCCTGACGGGTTTCAGGACCGGTCGTTGCCCCATTTCACCAAGAACTCGAAGACGCCGCAGTCGAAGGGTTTCGTGCGCAATTCGTTCTTCCTGGGGCTTACTCCCCCCGAATTCTTGTTCCACGCCATTTCCGGTCGTGAAGGGTTGGTCGATACTGCCGTTAAAACTGCCGAAACCGGTTACATGTCTCGTCGTTTGATGAAGTCGTTGGAAGATTTGAGTGCTCAGTACGACAACACCGTGCGGAACTCGCTGAACGGTATTGTGCAGTTCCGCTACGGTGGTGATGGCTTGGACCCCTTCGATATGGAAGGTGATGCCGTTCCTGTCAACTTTGAACGTCAATGGAACCATCTGTTCAACGTGACTATGGATCTTGACGCTTCAGGGTTGTTGCCTGTTGAAGTAATCAAGAAGACCAAGAAACTACTTCCAGTGAAGGAGGGCTCTCCCGATGCCAAGTTCAAGCAGCTGGTGATTGAGTTCGTCACCAAGAAGGCCGACCGGTTAGCTGAGTTACGCGATCGTTACCTGCTTAGCGATAACATGCGTGATGGCGATCTGCCTGAACAAATTGCTGTTGACCAAGTGCTTAAGATCACTGAACGTTGTTTGACTCACTTTATCGACACTTGTCGTACCAAGTACACTCGGGCGCTTGTGGAACCGGGTACTGCCGTCGGTGCCATTGGTGCTCAATCCATTGGTGAACCCGGTACGCAAATGACGTTGAAGACTTTCCACTTTGCTGGTGTGGCGTCGATGAACGTCACGTTGGGGGTGCCTCGTATTAAGGAAATTATTAACGCGTCGAAGGTGATTTCCACCCCGATTATCAAGTCGGTGTTGGTGAATCCTGATGATGAAATTGCCGCTCGGGTGGTTAAGGGGCGTATTGAAAAGACATTGTTGCTGGACGTGGCGTTCAGTATTTCTGATGTCTACAAAAACAACATGCTGTACTTGCTGATCCATGTCGATATGGACACCATCGAGAAGTTGCAATTGGAATTGACGATGGACCAAATTGCGTCGGCGGTGGTCAAGGCTCCCAAGCTTAAGATCAGTCCCGGTGATGTGTCGGTGCTGAAGAATACCATCAACGTCTTGGTTACTCTCCGAGAAACCAAGGCTGAACAGATTAAGGGCCTTACCCAGCCTACTGCTCTTTTCTTCCGCATGCAACAACTCAAGCGGGCCCTCCCCAACATTGTCATTAAGGGGTTGCCGACGGTGTTCAGAGCTGTCATCAATATCCGTGATGATCTGAAAAAGGAATTGTTGGTCGAAGGTTACGGGCTCAAGGAAGTGATGCTGACCGACGGTATTGTCGGCACCAAGACTCTGACTAACCACGTGCTTGAGTGTATGCAAGTGTTAGGGATTGAGGCTGCTCGTTCTTCGATCATTCACGAAATTGACTATACCATGAGTAGTCACGGGATGGCGGTGGATCCTCGTCACATTCAGTTGTTAGGGGACGTGATGACCTACAAGGGTGAAGTGTTGGGTATTACCCGTTTCGGGTTGCTGAAGATGCGGGATTCGGTGTTGCAATTGGCGTCGTTCGAAAAGACGACCGATCACTTGTTTGATGCTGCATTCTACCTCAAGTCGGACAAGATCGAAGGGGTGTCCGAGTGTATTATCTTGGGGCAAACTATGGGTGTTGGTACCGGTAGTTTCAAGTTGGTGAAGACGAGTAACTTTGACTCGGCGAAGGCGTTGCGTCGTAACGAGACTTGGTTCGAAAAATTGGCGACTCCGGTGGCGGCGTCGGCATAAAGATATGATAAATAACGATAATAATATATTGATAGTGAAAATTATGGCATTATTCCGTCGATGCGATAGGGGTCATTAGTAGGACGTCACAAAAAGTACTCGATGTGTTTTTTGGCATAGAAGTCACCATAGCCACCGTCTTCGTCGTCGGTGCCGTTCACCAGCTTGCCGTTGACGGTATCCTCGTCATTTTCTGGCGACGCTTCGAAGATGTTGAAATACTGGCCGGGAAGCGCCTCCACGTAGTGGTCACTTAAGACCTGAGGAGGGGCCGACTCTTTCAGTTCGTAGTTACTGTGGTGAATTTCAAGCACACTCGCCTTGTTGCCACATCTGTAGCAGTAGTTGGGTGCCAGCCACACCGTCACGCACTTGCCTTTCCAGTACAGCGTGTAACCTTCATTGCAAAGTTGGTGGGCGCGGATAAGCTGAACCAAGTCGTTTTCTCGACAGAATTTGTTGATGACATCCAAGCCAAAGAGGTAGCCCGCACCCCGAGGCAGTAACTTGAAATCCATGATCTCGGTGTCGGGGTCCAGCCACACCAAATCAGCCATGACGCCGTCATGGGGTATCTCTTTGAACCGATCGATGGCTCGGATTTGATCTAGTTGTTGACAACTGGGCAGAAGACCTCCGTGGACGGCGAAGAGACGACCATCAATTGTCGCCGCCAACGGGAGATAGTCAAATAAGTCGGTGATGTAAGCCCATACGTCAGCACACCCACCATACTTATTAAGCACTTCGGTGTAAAAACCGTAGTTGGTGGTGATGGTCCTCAGTTCGTGGTTGCCTCTAATGAGAAATACTCGGTCAGGGTAGCGTAGTTTAAGTGCAATCAATAACAGAATCGTTTCCACCGAGTAGTAGCCACGATCGACGTAGTCTCCGAGAAACAAGTAATTGGTATTCGGCGGCAGCCCCAGAATCCGGAATATTTCCAAGAGATCGTGGTACTGGCCATGGATATCTCCCACCACCGCGATGGGAGTCTGTAACGACATGATGTTGGGCACCCCGAGGAGCTCGGTTTTAAGCGTGTGACATAGCTGCTGGATAGTCTCTGGCGGTAATAGTTTGGGGGGATTGTTCCCCAATAGCTGCTCCAAGCAGTGGTCGAGCTGGGAGATCGGTATTCGATGAGGGATCGTCATCGTCACCGTCTATATGTGTGGGGGGCGCGTACGCACTATGTTTACCACCGCTCCCCCGTGGCTGCAACCAAATGATAAAAAGCCTACAGCACTGGGATATGACTGAATAAAGTCTGCGGTGTGTGAAAGAGAGATATTTTTATTTAAGTTGTGGCAAACTCGTTTCCCATCAGTCAATGGAAGTAAATATAGCTTAAAATGCAATTAGAACAATCTACCCAGATACCATCTATTCATTCGTTCTACTTAGATCTTCGACCGCCAGTACTTTTGGGCCTCGGCCGCGGGACGCCCGTTCTTGATGTCTTCGGCAACCTTGGTATCGGCCTCGACGCGTTTCGGGATGTATTCGAGAATCAGGTCCAATTGGTCGTTATCTTCAACACGGACCATGCCGCCTTGATCGGCCATCAAATAATCGCCAGGGTTGATGGTAATAATTCTTTCCTTTTCGTTTGGGTCAGGAGACACGGTTCTGATTTGAAGAGGAACATTGATCCCCACCACCTTGACCACGGGGCCAGGAGCAGTGGTGCCCACCGAGTACGACCACACCGGGTAGCCCAATGCCTGGTGTTCGGCGACGTCTCTGACCCGGCCAAAGATTGCCAGCCCCAGAGCCTTGCGGTATTGCGCTCTGGTGCTCATAAGACCTCCGTAGAGAGCATTATTCACGGTGACGAAAGGAGCCTCAAGGAGCTGGCATTCAGGGGGAAGAGCCAACACCACAAACGCATCTTCGGGAACTTCATCAATGTACAGTTGAGGCACGGCGGGACGAGGGTCCAGCTTGGGGGCGTACAATACCGTGTACGCCTTACCAATGGTACTCACTCCCCGAGGGTTTACCGAGCGATTGAACAAGTTAGGCACGAATCCCCCGTCCTTGCTGCCATGGTGCACAAGCGAATCACTTAAGTCACATGGCAGGTATTTTTCGAGAAATTTAATCACCTCTTTTACCGTTCTTTTGGTGGACATGGTTGTGAAGTTCGGCAGGAGCCGGTCTCGGCTTTTTCCCCTTAAAACCCGGGGAAGGTGCGGTGTGCACATAAACTGAGCAACTCCCTACCCTGTACCCTGAGCCTTTCGTCGAACTGATCTACCATGGATAACGTCGATTAATCTATATTTACAAGGGGTGTCGGCTTCACTCGACACTGATGCGCAGCTTCAACTTCTTCAATCTCTCCTTATCGAAGCGGTCATTGTCTTCGGCTTCGATTCTCCCCAGCCCCGTAGCCCGGTGGGTGAGTTCGCCCTTTTTGGGTTCTTCCTTCATCACCACCACCGTTTTGGCCATACTGAACCGCAGGAGATTGTCCACCATCTGCGGCTCAAGCCCATAATCGTCCGCTACTTTAGCGGGGGCAAAGCCATCCCGAAGGTCGCTGACAATCGCCGAGAGCGTTTGCGGGTTCACCAACAGTTTCGCCGTGTCATGATTGTGCTTTTGTGTTTCCCCTTTATCCCATAATTGTTTGCGATTGTTGAGCTGGCGCAAGGATAGCGCATCGGCATTAACTTGGGGTACCAGGATCAGGTTCACCTGTCGCCCAAGCCTGGTCACGGAGTCAACAAAGTCAGTGTCGTATGTAGATGTGCCTTCAATCTGAGGGTCGAAGCCGTCTTTGCCGGGAGGCGTCACTGCAGTGTTTGGCGGGGCATTACCATGTTTGTTCTGGAGTTTTTGGGTAAGCTTAGCCGCATCGAACTGCGGCGGTTTCTGAGGTTCAAGCGGAAGCTTGGGCGCCTGCTTCGCCACTGGCTCGTAGGCTTTGGATATGGTTTTGCCTAACTGCCGCTGGGTCAGAGCTTTGTTCCCCATTAATGACGGATCTCTATATGGTTGCCTGCGGTGGTGCGAACGAAAAAGGGTGAGAGGGATTGTTTGGCAATGTACAATGAATCACCAAAGATTACGCCTAATACAAGATTTGAGTCTAATCATAAACCTTTTTTTGCTATCTATTATACAATGGTCGTTACTTTTGCTTCTTCAGCTTCTTCTTCTTTTTCTTCTCCTTGTCCTTGTCGCCCAGCTCCAGCTTGTCCTTTTTCAGCTTCTTAGTGGATTGGGCGTCTTCAGTGGTGTCAGCACTTCTCTTCTTAGATGATTCCAGCTGAGCGGGTGCCTTGGCTTCTTCGAAATCGTTGGCGTCGTAGCCAGTGGGGAAATGTCTCATGCGGAGGCCTTCGACTTCTTCGACGTCCTTTCTGGGGACTCTGGCGGCGTCAAAATCAATCTTAGGGATGCTTACGGTCTCTCTAATGTTGTAGAACCGGTTGATCTTAGCCGAAGTCGACACCAACCCACCTGTCTTACCGCCGGCCAATACGGTGTATTTGGAAGGGGCGTTCTCAGTGGTGAGCAATTCTTCGTTAACGGTGTAAGTAACATCATTTTGAGTGAATGGAGTGGGACCCTTTTTAAGCGAAGTGGCTGTGAACGATACAGGCAACTTTTTAAGTTCGTTCATGTCGAACCCTTTCGGCGCCTTGATGAGCCATATTTCCTTATCCTTAGCGGCTTTGGCAAAGTCAGCGCCGAACTGTTGGGGCTTGAAACCCTTCGGAGGCTCAAACTCATCGTTTTCGGAGTCGGAATCCGACACGTATTCCTTGCTCTTAATGACCATGATGGGATCCTCACCCTCTCATCTCATCGCTGTCGCACCCTAGGTGCTACCGTCGCTCTCACGTGTGCAAAACCACGTGATGCAAGTTCGCTCTGATGTGGTCGACCCGCTCACAAAAACCGTACCGCGAATAAACTACCGACAATTCCAGAACATAAGCCCCCTAACCATTGCCTTTCACCGCGTCCTTACTAATGAGGGAACACCAGCCTCCGCTGCTGCCACTGGGAGGTGCCATTTCTGTGGCTTTTGCCAAGAGGTCAACAATACAACAATGAAACACGATGGGTGTCGAGATGGTGTGTCGCTTTGTGTTGAGCATTAGTCCCCATGGAACAAAGTAACCACTAATAATGATGTTTGCGGTTTTGTGCCGTCCGGTAATTGATTAAGGCCCGAACGCCGAAAAAGCCTTCTTCGCGTTTCTTGGGAATTCCGAATCCGGTATCGGAGCCTCTTTTGATGCGAGAACCTTGATAATGCCTGATGGCTAGTGATGAGCATCACCGAGTACTGATAAGAAAAAATTCCATCGTGATTTTGATGCGTCACTAAACGTAAATGAGTGTTGCTTAGTACAGATTAGTTATCTACAAGATCGTTAGGGATCGATCGCGAGCAAAACAAAAGATATGTTGCGGGGATGTACATCTGACCCATACCGCAGCATGCCTGTGCTCATATCAACCCCCCATGTACCACGCAGGTGGGTCGGCAATAGCAAGCTTTGGTCGCAGATATTGGCTATGCACACATCGCCGAGATGGAATTGCCTTAGGGAACGCCTCCCCCGAACTCCTTCATCCGAACCAAATGGATGGCAAAGGGGGATCTCATCACTGTTAGTCTTTTCGTATCCTCAAGACCCAGAGAATCTGTGCTAGTGGAAAAAAAAAAAAGCCGGGCTCGAGTTACCATGCATCTGTCGCGTAAACACCAGACCCTCAGGTTTGTTTACGGGGCGTGGGTGGTATTGTTCTGTACCCCAACAGATGCCTGTGATGCCCGTGAAGATGCATCCATATGGAACGACAATAGCAGAAATTTCGCACAAAGTCGATGGGGAACAATAGCCGTATGCATAAGGCTATTGTTATGAGTACGAGACGTCTGCGGTTCACGCGTTTAGTGCTATGCATGCAGTAGCTAAATGCACCTAGGACTCGTTGGGATTTAACCCCACCTCGCTATATAAACTCGAAAACACCTTCTCAGGCAAACTAGTCTCTCGCTTTTACCCCTTTCCAATGAAGTTATCTGTACTCGCCGTGGCGGCGGTGGCCTCAGCCAAAACCACCGTCACCGTTTACAAGTGCTGCACCAAAGCCCCTGTCAAAACTGACGTGTTTGCTGACTGCTACACCGTGACCTACAAAGACAAAGACAACAAGCCTCATGTCACCACGGTGTACCCTCCCCTGCCCACTTCGACGTCGGGTAAGCCGAGAAAGAAGGCTAAGGTCCACTGTCACTTGGACGGCGTGTGCAAGACCACCATCATCCCTCCTCCTGACTGCACCACCACCACCGTGATCACCTGTCCCAAGAGCACTGGTGAGTGCCACACCTCGGTGCACACCAACCCTACGCCTACTGGCTCTGGATCTGGTAATGGTTCTGCTTCCGGTAACGGCTCCGGTAACGGCAGCGCCTCCAACACTGGTGGTTCTGGTAACGGCACTGGTAATGGTACCGGTAACGGTGGCTCCGCTTCTCAAACTGGCGGCTCGGGTACCGGCGTCGTCGCTCCCACTGATTCCAACTCCACCGGTGGCACTGGTGTTGTCGCCCCTACCGAATCTGACTCCACCGACGGCACTGGTGTTGTTGCTCCCACTGACTCCGAAGACAGTGCTTCGGGTTCCGCTACTGACACTGGCCGTGGTCCCACTACCGCCACTGGCAGTGTCAGCGGTGACGGCATCAGCACCTCCGACACCGGTGTCGTTGCCCCCGAAAGTGACTCTACTTCCAACACTGGTGCTGTTGCTCCTGAAAGTGACAGCACTGATTCCGGTAACGCTACCCCGACGAGCGATGTCAGCTCGACTATTGCTCCGTCGTCCACTTCTGAACCCACTTCGTCTGCCGCTCCTTCGTCGTCGCCCACTTCTGAACCCACTTCGTCTGCCACTCCTTCGTCGTCGCCCACTTCGGTGACCATGCCTCCCTCGTCGTCGTCGCTGACCCCTCCCTCGTCGTCAGCTTCGTCGCTGCTGGCTTGCCCCACCGCTAACTTGGACGCTGAGATGTCGAACTTGACTGGTGACACTAAGACCAAGGCGGAAAGCATCTTGGACTTCCACAACCAGAAGCGTGCTCTTCACGGCGTGTGCCCTCTTGCCTGGTCGGACACTCTCTACCAATTCGCTAAGCAATTGGCTGACGCCAAGCTGTGCTCGGACTTCTCGTTGACTCACACTGCCAACAACCCTTACGGGGAAAACCTTTCCATGGGTTGGGGTAACGACTTCTTGAAGGGTCCCAACGTGTGGTACGAAGAAGGTAACAACTTGGACTGGTCCAACCCCAGCGCCATCCCTTACTCCCACTTCTCGCAAATGATCTGGAAGTCGACGACCAAGTTGGGTTGCGCCTGGAAGGACTGTAACGCCCAAGGTAACGGTTACTACCTCGTGTGTGAGTACGACCCCAAGGGTAACACCAATGCCAATGGTGGTAAGGTGGCCAACATCTTGCCTCCTGTTTAGTTAGACTTGAACTTCGGAAAAACTGCTTTGTATTTGTTTGTAAAATTAATTGAAAGTTTTGTACTATGATTTGTCAAGGTTCTGATTGTTCACCTTCCTTCAGTGGTGTGTAATGATGATAATACGAAACCGCATTGCTCGAGACATTATACATAAAAATAGCTGCCCAACTATAGGATCCCAGTATTTCAGCATTTCGGTTCTACTCTTGATAATTCTCCTGGCCTTTTCGTCTACAATTCATGCATCCAAGTTTCGATTCCTCTGCATCTTTGAGGTTATGAATTTCTGTTTGTAATTCATGACCTATTTTGTGAGGCTGAGCTTCAGTTGAAACGGTTCGTGACGTTAACGCAGTGTTCTTGGTCCACCTTTGTTTGCTACTATCTACTTTGAGCGTCTCAGCCTCTAGCAATTCTCGTATTATCGCTGCGCCACTTTCACTTTATGCATCAAGGGTCGTATTCAAAAGGGACCGAACTCAGGAATTGAGAATTGCAAAATGTTATTATTGCCCCGTATGCCCTTTTCATCAATATGAATTGATGGTGTCTCGTTAGCCATCCTTGAAATATCTTCGCTGGGCAGACAAAACCATTCATGTTATGCTTGTTTCTAGTTCATTTGGAGCGCAAAGACAATACGTCGTTTTGAGCCATGACTATGGCATAATGCTAGTGGTCAAAAAGTCGTATTCATCCAAATATAGCAGCCAACAATTTGCCATCTTATCCGACTCAGCCGTGCTAGAAGGCGGTCTAGAACCGTATCAAACTCGTATTTGCGATGGATCCATCAAGATGTTCCTCATCTTTTCAGATGATGAGACTCACTGTTCTGGAAAACTTAATGGATGGTAAAGATTTTTCGAATATGGCCTACGCACCTCCGATTCATTATGAGCATCGACAGATTGTGATAGTTGTTACAATGGAAGTTATGCTCGAACATGTATCCAGTAAACACAAGTATATATCCATAAATCTAATAAAGCAAAACAGAAATGAACCGAATGGCCAGTACACCCCGGAAGTGTAGCTGACCCGTTCATGGCTCCCTCGCCAACCACAAATTGCCGAGTTCACCGAAGAATTGAAAAGGTATCGTCATAATTTCGTTACAAGCGGTTCCACTTGTTCAGGATCCATCTCTTGACCTTTTGCACGTTGGTGTCCGAGGTGTAGTTGATGGTAGCGTCAATTTGGGTGTGCAAAACAACTTCAATCCCCTTAGTGTCGTCGGGGCATGACGAGTCGCCAGTGTAGATGGAGTATTCGAAGTCTCTCCACTTTTCTTCATCCCACTTTTGGCCATCGTTGAGGTCAGGGCACACTCTGAACTTGTTGTTCTTGGCCTGAACCAATTGCGACTTGGAGAGAGCAAAGTTTTGGGTAGACTTGTCGTTACCCGAAGCAGCCTTCAATTGACCTTCACTGTCAACCTGGATGTTGGTTTGCGAAGGAGCCTTACCCAGAGTACCAGGAACATTGAGAACATAACCGGTCAGAGCCTTGACACGGCCGACAAAGGCATCATCGTCGGTCAAAAGCTTCAATTGGTCACCGTCAAACTTGACCAATTCACTTTTCAAGGGAGTATCTTCCTCCGTGCCTTCAGCAATGAGCGAGAACATGGGCGAAGTTTGTTGGTAGACTCTCTTGTAGAGAGGCACCGCTTGAGCAGCAGCGAGCAAGGAGGCGAGGTAGATGATTTGCATGGTAGGATCGGTTTCTTTGTTGATGAGATGATCTGCTGGGCATCATGGTCGTTTATATAGAATGGCGAGTTCTCACCCCCTTCGTATGCAGGGCGAAGTCACTATGCATGGTGGACCCAGCATTCGTTTTTCCCCATTGGGGAGTACAATCGTGCAATTAGTGCTATATAAACACTACAATAAACAAAGTGATTCAAATACCACATGATGTACTTTCTTCTGAGAAGATTGACTCCAAGATTGTGTTCATTATTACGATGGTAAGCCCTCCCATCGTCGGACAATTTGTTCGTTGCCAACCTCACCTTGATAGTTTCCGAAAATAATTTTGCGCGCTGCTGCGGCCGAACTGTCAAGCGACAGGGTGACCAGCCACCATTGTCACGGAACGAAATGTAAATATAGAACTGGTAACCAAACATTCGTGATGTGGTCATAGTACTCCATACATACTCGTCTATCAATGCAATCAATATAGCTACTCAGGTACAAAACATTGGCAAATCTAAAGTCGCATAAAAAGCTAAGAGAAATTCCTTAGTGTCAGGACGTTCGGAGTCCGACCCCTGAGTCAACATGGAAATTAAAATGACAAAGACTACACCAGAGTCGATCCTTCGAGGGAGATTACGTCTAAGCCTTGCAATTGCAAAGCCTTGTCATTGCAAAGCCTTGTCATTGCAAAGCCTTGTCATTGCAAAGCCTTGTTCAGAAGCCACACAAGCCCACTTCTATTTTTGTCACTTCGTATATCATGATTGTCATGAAACTAGGCTCACAACATTTTGTATGATGATCATACAAATCAGTTTGCAAAATCAGGGGTCGAAGTTAGTTTAGCCACGTGCACGCAAAACATGAGGCTGAACCTGCGCCCACCTTAACATTTCCGAATTAGGTGAACCAGGCTTATATTGACGCAAGCCAGCAATTACGTACATGACGTGGGTCACCAGACGCGTAGACGTGTAGCAAAGTGGTAGTTGTCGAAGTTGTAAAGAGAAATCTGTTATTGACGTACAATCCAAATATGGAGACGATTCTTGTCTCGTCACTAATGTATCTTGCATGCAAAAAGCAAGTTCAATGCAGACAGTGATCTAGCAAAAACAATGGACGAGTTGGGAATCGAACCCAAGACCTTTCGCATGCTAAGCGAACGCTCTACCAACTGAGCTACACGCCCGATTTTCAAAAACGTGGTTCTGGTGAAATTATATTGTAGCATCTCTACGCAAATTGCGCGCTTCAGGGGTTTAAAACTAGTAAAATTTTACATTCTTTACTCAAATAGTGATTTTTAAAAGCCCCGGAATGATTACAAGTCAGAAACATTCGAAAATAGCGTTTTATTTCAGAAAAATCATCACGTACTCTCCCTTCGACAAACGATAACCATAAATGCTTCTATAAACTTTCTCATATCTATGTAGTGGTTTCGATAATTTTAACGTTCTTCACTCTGTCACGGTAGTCAGCAACGTAGACTTCTCTCAGTCCCACTATATCCAAATCACGGACATATTTGGTCTGAGGATCTTTCGATTGAGCTTTCGTCAAGCTTCGTTGTAGAACTTCTGTCAACTTGATCAAAGTATCGCCCAAAATCTCGGGGGTAAGCCGGTAATCAGTGTAGTAGTAGTTATGGGCCAAGATAGCACAGAATAAATCCCCCAGTCCTGAGAAATGACAAGGAACCTCCTCAATGGGAATGGCAAACATCTCAGATGATGAGGCTCCGATCAGCCACATTTTGCCTTCAAGTATAACCAGAGAAATCACCAAATGCTTGACCTTATACTGCTCAAAAAACTTGATCACTGCTTGCCGCAACTGTGACCACAGATCGAATAATTCTCCCACTAACATTTCGAACTCGAACTGATTTGGAGTGACAAGACTCACTCTACCCAGTCGTAATATATCTTGATACATGGGGATCAATTTTGATTCAACGTATAGCTTTCCGTTATCACCCAACACTGGATCCATCAACCAAGGAACGTCAAGTGGTTTCAACTTGTCGATGATCACCTGAAGAGTTTCTGCAGTGGGGGCATACCCTGTAACAAGCAAATGATAGCTGTTAACATTGAGAATGTCTTCAAGCCCTTCGATGATGTCGGCAACTGCCGAGGCGGGAGTCTTCGAACCTTCAAATGAACCATATCCTGGGTGGTTTGAGAAGTGTGTTGTATTGATGGCATCAGCATCCCAACCACAGTATTGAAGGGGGAAGACTATAGCCCGGTTGCCAACATATCCATGGACCACATGGCTCAGGATCAGGAGTAGTTGAGGCATCCACTGCAAGCGTCGATGGAAAGGCTAAAAAAGCGGGGTGCGGCACGGACAATACCGGTGGCGGGTGAAACGGTTGCAGGTAACCTCTAGTATACACCAAGATCTAAAGACGAGCTCCTTTTGACTTAATAAGTTCCTACATGAGATTTGAATCATCGTGTTTTGAATCGTCGATCCGATGAGATGAAGTAGACGTTGATGACTCATCAATTTTGGGCAATAGCTACTACCATACCGAAATATCGATTCAAACAAAAAAGGTATGAGATGACTTTCAAATTTCACATTCTTTTCCTGATAGCTAGTCTTTACTGACATCAACTTTATGGCTTGCACACACTATCTGAAATCAGCCTTGTTAAGCGAGTGTTCAGTCACGCGGAACGTTAGCTGCTACGCGCTCACTAACATTAGCTCACAGATTAGCTTCCAAGGCTACCATTGCTACCCACCGGTGGCTTTGCTTGCTCCACTTGCCAAGCCACCAATTGCTATATATAGCCAACTGCCTCAGCCCACAAACCAATACTAGTTACTCAATGCACAACGTGGCAATGTTTGAAGCCTGGAATGCCATTCGTAAGGTATTATTGCAACAAGAGATAGAAGAATCTAACAAAATTCAATTGTTATGATCCCAATTTGTAGCTCTTCTCTAGTTAATGGAACATTGTAGCCGTTCTCCACTGGCGCCGGTCGCGTCCTGCGTACAACAGGCACCACCCTTACAACCCAGAACGATCTACTGACGTGTTCATCGAGCAAGCGATGTCTCTCAAACAAAGCGTCACCCTTGACGTGGGCTACCCCGTGTATGGTGCCAAGTACATCAACAACCTGACACTTGTTGTCACCGGTGGTGGCGGCAATGGCAACCACGGCATCCCTAACAAGATCACGGTGATCAAGGTGCTGTTCCTGGTGAAGGATCCCCAGCGGAGATTGCAGAGATTCCGGGAAATCACCTTACCTCCCGACGAAGATTGCCCTCAATGTATCGACGTTGCCATTGACGTCGATAGTGACGACCAGGGCCATGCTGTCGTCCTTGGGTGCAACCAGCTGGCGCAACTCATCTCCCTGATGAACATCAACAACAACTTACGAAAGTATCTGTTTACGAGCGACGAGCACTTACGGTTTGTTGACGCGGCTCAGTTGGAAGAGAACGCCGGCGACGTCGGCGTCTACCCTAAGATCGTGAGAATCCTGCCACGAGCCACCGTGGGGGCGCTCATGACCCTGGCCATCCCGTCCAACATCATCTTATTTAATCCTGACTCATTGGAGGTGATTGGAAAAATTACCAGTGGTCAGGAGATCCGTGATTTCGCTCTTTCTAGCGACGATGACGGTAAGTCTCTTGCCTACGTCACCTCCAAGCAATTGGTGATTTGCCAAACGTTAAGTGGACAAACTTTATCAACCTTCGATCTTGGAAACTTGCAGCTCCGTAAGGTGCGTTTCACTGACGCAGGTCATGTCGTTGTGGGGGCTCTGGCACCCAAGAAGGGGGCTGTTCTCGCTATCGTCAACACTAAGCTGGGTAAAATCGAGAAGCAAAAGGTAGTGCTGTCGAAATTTAATAACATCACTGCTATTGACGTTCATCCGCAGGCGAATTTAATTGGCATCGCTGGGAACGACCTCCTGGTGACCATCGTCAGATTGCTGGATCTCGCTGTTCTTAAGAGCTTCCCCAAGCATCATCCATTTGCAATCACTCTGGTGGCATTCAACCCTCGCGGTACTCAATTGGCGTCGGTGCTGGCAGCGAACAAGGTCCATGTATTTAAGATCCCCCCTACCTACGCTCAACGCACAGGGTCCACCATAGGAACTCTCTTCAACTACTTGGTTATGATCTTGCTCATTGCGGGGTCTGCCATTGTTGTGCAAAAGGCTCACGAGACCGGACAATTGCAAGTCATTCAGTCGGAGGCAAAACGATACGCTGAGATTTACGGGCGTGAGTATGGAGCGTTGGCTAAGGCATATGGATCTGAAGCTTTGGTTCAAGCCAGAAACTTTGGTGAAAAGGCTGTGAACAGAGCTCACGAAGAATACGATAAACGTTGGGGCGCTGCGGCGAGGGCGCTGATGGAGTCCATCAAGGCTTTGACTCTGGAGTCAGATATCATGAGTGAAACCTCCATTGCCGGCACTGAAGAAGCTACGTGGGAGACACTGACTGTTGAACCTCTTGAAACGGTCCAAACTGAAGTGGTTGAGAAATTGGCAACATCGATTATCCCTGAACCTGTGGCTAGCGAGGAGATTAAGATTGAGGAACCCAAGGTTGAGGAACCCGTGGCGGTGGAACCGGTTTCAAGTGAAGAAGTCAACGTGGCTGACCCTATTACCGCAGAACCTGTTGCTGAATCGGTGGCTGCTGAAGTCCTGTCAGTGGCTGAACTGGTAGCTGAACAAGCTGAATCTGTGGTTGAACCCGTGATTGAACCAGTGGTGTCTTCTAGTGAGCTGATTGTGTCTGACATTGTCGACTCAGCCTCATCTGTTTACGAGAATGCTCAATCCGTGGTTTCCGATGGCACTGAGCAAGTGGTGTCACAGGTTACCGATGCCGCCTCGACCGTCCAAAGCGCGGCGGAGTCAGTGGTAGAAAATGTTTCAGAAGTCGCGGGGTCGGTTGCTGAAAACGCTCAAGAGGTCGTCGGCCAGGGAGCTGAATACGTTCAAGAAAATGCTCAGAACATTCAAGAGCAGGAGGCCTCAGTGGCGTCAGTTGCGAGCTCTGAAGCCACACTGGTTAGCTCGGTTATCAGTGAAGGTGTTGAATCTGTGGTGGCTGGTGTTGGTGACGTTGTTCATCTGGCTAGTTTGGTTGCTTCGTCCGTTGTCTCCGAAGGTGAGGTTTATGTTGAGCAAGCCACTTCGATCGTTGCTGAAAAGGTCGAAGACGTGGCCGACGGTATTGGTCAGATGGTTGGCGATGCCAAGTCTGCAGCCGAACTGGTCGTGGACAACATTGGTGGGAACGCTGAAGCGGCGGCGTCTTATGTCGTTGAAGGTGCGGCGCTGGTGAAGTCTGATATTGAAGCTGGTGCCGAATATATCGTGAACGACGCTTCGCTGGTCGTCGAAGAGGTCAAAGAGACCGTCGAGCTGGTAACTTCGGAAGTGTTGGAAACCGTTGAACCTGTGGTGGCTGAAGGGGTCGAAAATGCTGAAGCAGTGGTTGGCTCCGCCCAAACGGACGCCGAACGGGTAGTTGAAAATGTTCAAGAGTCCGTGGTTCTGGCTGTTTCTGAAGTGACTGAATCTGCTGTTCTGGAAGCAACCGATATTTCTGAGTCCGTATCTCTGGTGGCATCGGCAGTTACCAATGAGGTTCCTCCTGTTGAAGCTGTGGTCGAGGAAGTCGAGCAAAAGCTTGAACAGCAAAATAAACCTGCGGCTGCTGATCCCGTTAAACCCTCCACTCAGGAAGCTCAACCGGTGCCCGAGGCCACCCCGGAGCCATCAGTAGAACAAAAGGCTGCTCACCCAGCTTCAGGGGAGCAGGTTGAATCGGAACCTTCTGAAACCATTTTTGTGGAGGAGCTTATTGAGGAATTAGTGGAAACCATACAAGTTGAAGGCCAAGAGCCGCAAGTTGTTACAAAGAGGGTGACCCAGGCCGTGACTCACACGTTAGCGGCAGACAAGGAAATCAACGACGAGTTGTAGTATATATAGTCATAATAACTGGGTATTTAGACTGATTTTAATTACAAGATTTTAGACGTGTTACCGCTGCTACATTTCAACTACTAAATCAATAAAATGTATAAAGTTATATACGAGGTATTAATTATACCACTTCTCTCTTTGCATTATTAGAAACTGGGTTTATGTTTCATCGACCTGACTCGCCCCCTCCTGTCATCGCCATCGAACGCGACGCGCGTACCATTAACCTGCCATGTCTCGATTCGCCGCTGGGTTGGACCTGGTGACTGATCCCAGCGACTTCAACCTATCGCGGCTTCCTCAGCTATCCCAGTTCGATGCCCTTGCCCGATGCTACATTTGTAAGGAGCTTTTTCGAGGTCCTGTGGTCACCAGTTGTAATCATACCTTCTGTTCCCAGTGCATCCGCCAGCACCTCATGGCCGAAAGCAAGTGTCCATTGTGCAAACTGGAAGTGTACGAGTCTCAGTTAAGACGTGATATTGTGTTTGACGAGTTGGTCGACATGTATCGCCTGCTTAGACCGCGTTTACTAGAGTTGCTCATTGGAGACGAGGAAGTCACGGAAACTAAAATAACGACAAACCACCAGGACCAACATCTACTGGATGATTCGATTGAAGTGGTGGGTGAGCTAAAGAAACGACATGTTGATTCAAGTGATGACGTCGAAGTGATCGGTGAAACTCTGCAGTGTCCAGTATGTCAGCGATCGATGCCAGCAGATTTCATCTCACTGAAGCATCTAGACATGTGTCTTCGGGGACTCGGAGACCAGGCTCTTCCCAAACCTTCGGCAAAGCGAGCAAAGACTAGTCGAGGTTCGATCCTGACATTCTTCCAACAGAGTCGTACGCCACCGCCAACAAGGGCAACCGACTCTTCCCGCGAAGCTACCAACTCCCCTGGGAGTGATGATCGCGCTGAGCGGTTTATCCTTCAGGCGGCACAGCATAATGTGAACGACTCGAAACGACTTCATAAACTCGATTTCAGCTCCACCAGCACCCCCCGTTTAAAAGAACGCCTAGCTCAGTTGAAACTCCCTACGCTGGGAACTAGGAACCAATTGGAACTTCGCTATAACCAATATCATGTGTTGTATAATGCCAACCTCGATGCGATTCATCCCCAAGATGATAGAGTGTTACGGCATCAGCTCCGCCAATGGGAACAATCGCATCTGGCGTTTCTGACATCTAACACTACGCTATTTGATTCGCATAATCTGCTGCTAAGCCATCGTAACATCACAGATAAGAACTTTCTGGCAACCGAGTGGATGCGTGCCTATAATGATGAGTTCCGTGAGTTAGAACAAGCCGCCCGCAAACTGATGAAAAACCAAACTACCCTGCCATCAACTGAAGGTGAACAAAATAGTGCATCTAACGCCGTCTCAGAAACTATCGCGGAACCTAAATCCGCGGCATTGCCCGATCCACCACAGTAGTCTTCGCGCGCTACCATGCATGAATGACATATTTCGAGGAAGCGCGATGATACATAGTCGCTGCCCAGGCTATGGCAGGTGATGACTACTACACCACCTATGAAGCTGCCCTTGCTGTGGTAGCCACAGGCATGAAAAAGGCCCGGCTTCCATACAATATCCTTGTGCTCAACTCAATCTTGGGCGGCATGTTCTTTCTGACTGGGGGTATGCTTCAGATAATGATCGAGGGCAATCTACCGGGAATCAATGCCAACAACCCCGGAATCGCTCGTATGTTGAATGGTTTGTTTTACCCCATCGGGCTTTTCTTCGTGGTTCAAATGGGGGTGGATTTGTTCAACTCCAACATCTTGTTTTTCACTGTGGCTAGCTGCCGGAAGGCGGTGACGATTATTGACTTGATTATTGCATGGATTACCAGTTACTGGCTCAACCTCGTGGGGAACATCTTTGTATGTTATATTTTTGTACACTTTCTGGGTCTGTTTGACGATCCAAGAGTGGTAGAATTCTCACGACAAATCGTGGACCAACGAGCTAATACTCCATTCCATCAAACGTTAATCAGAGGTATTGCAGGTAACTTCTACGTGTGTTTGGGTATATACCTACAGTTGCTTGCCCGGCCGGTTCACGTCAAGCTTCTCATGTTGGCGCTCCCCTTGTTCACCTTTGTGCTGTTGGGATTTGTGCACCTGATCGCTGAAATTACTGTTGGCATCATCGGTCTCATCAATGGTTGTAACACTCTGGTGGGGAAGGTTGCCTATAACTTATTTTTACCAGCCCTGATTGGGAATATGATTGGGGGACTGGTATTTGGTGTGGTGGTGGTTTGGTATCTCCATTTATACTCGGTTGAGCTCGATGCTAAACGACTCAAATTGCCTAGGCTCGGGGCGAAGGACGTCCAGCCCAATATCTTGATGGACTCGCGGATTGTTCGTGAAGAGATGCCCGCTACTGCGGCTGATCCTACTGGGGATGAGCGTGTGGATGCGTTGTATCACCAAGCGGAGAAGCTTTCTAAGAATGAAGACCATCCACCGGAATTGGCCCGTAAAGCTACGGGGGCTCTGCGGCGAAGCATGGCTCTGTTACGGCGCACCAAACTGCCGCGCAATGTATTTCCTGTTGCGGGTATGGCACCCGCAGACGAACGTGAATTACGGTTTGCAGGTAATGAAGATGATGATGATGACAACGATAATGATGCTGACTCAGCGGACGCAGACTTGTTTGGCGAAAGGATCAGGCGATATGTGACTGGCATTCGAAATAAACGTAAGCTGATCACTCACCAGGACATCGAGCTGCATTTGAATCAATCGTTTCAACCCCCTTCCAGCACCGTACGGCTGGATTCTCCAGTTGTGAAACCCGACCGCGACGTGCCGTATGAACCTTCAATTGACTCGTCGCTGTCATAATTTTTATCTTGCATAGAGAAACCGTTTATCTAACGGTTGTGTAATATAGCATAATGTCCAGGGAACGCACCCTGCACATAGTAATTAAATGACCCTCCTTAAATCCCTAAACACATAAACACTCCAACAGATGAAGTCTCCTCATCGATAATTTCAAGCAAACGTTCCAGTGCAATTGAAACATTGCCGGAATTATGTTGTCCAGACTTACTCTGTGGGCGATATTTGACCTGAGAGTGGCTTGCATCTCATGTGTTAGAGCGGGGAAGGAATGGTCAATGTCGCTCCCAGGGCTCGTAGTTGAAGCGATAATTTCGAGTATAACCAGGGGCAGCCTTAGCCCATTTCACCACACATGTCTTCGACGGTTTCAGACAGTCCGTATGGGGAATTCAACTTGAGTCGAGCTGGGTTCGAATCATTTCTCAATGGTGAAATTGAGACTATCTTGGATGACAAAACCAACGAAGGCTTGGAAGATGTCTTGTTGAGACATGGGTGTCTCGTGATGGCACGAAAATTGGCGTCTTGCAAGCCGTCACCTGCAATTGACCACCACAAAGATTATCGTCTTGAATGCAGCTTACTTGAGCAAATCCAATTGCCTTGTTCACAGCCGTTAGTTGATGTCGTCGACAAATTTGGACCTTTCGATGTGTATGGCATGCAGTTATATCCTCGAAGCATTGGGGCTATCATGAATCACTATTTGTTAATAGCAATCTCTCTGGGTCAAATCAATCGGGATCTGCTACGGACCACTGTCATCAATTGGAGTAACACAGCATCAAGAAGATTCTTGAAGGAAAGAGTCCATCAGTTGGTTACTCGCTTAGCTGATGATATTACACTTAAAGCGCCCGTGGCTGATGGGTGGGAGGAACTCTCTGTTCGAGCCCCAATTCTGCTGGTAGGCTCTGTTGCTGCTCAACGCATTGCTAACCTTCAGGAGTATGGGTGCACCGTATCGGCTCATTTAGAACTGGTAATCGAGGCTATGAAGACACTCGACGACTTATCGCAGTATGATGAATTATCGTTCGAGCAGCTTCAACTACTTAATGAATACGTCGGTGATGAGTTTACTGTCGTGCTGGTGAACCCAAAGTTAATGGAGGAAGCGTTTCACGCCACTCATGACCATGTTTACAAATACTACTCGGCAGTAGCCCGCCAGTTCCAAAGCTATCTGTCGCTTCCTCGATTTGACACTCAAGGCGACCCTTGGCAATTGTACCTGTTGTGTGACGGAAACTTGGTGGGCCCGTTCAAGACTGGTAAACATCTGGAACGGTTAGCATGGATGTTGGGATCTGAAGATGCAGACGTTACATTCCCTCTTAACGCCTACGTCAAGCTGTCACAAGGAAAGAGCCGTGAAGATTGTATTCTCGACTTTTATTCATCATACCTTGAGGCTCAATAGTATGTAATGTCAATTTAAGGTTAATTCATATTTTTGCAATGATCCAAAAATGCCTTCAAAAAGTTTGGTAAATGTTTTAAACTATCTCATCTGAAACGGTGATTTCAAAGTTCGTATGATTAGTACTTTTTATTTTAATTCTATAATGGTTCTCGGACCTTCTTTGTGGAGTACGTAGGCATCTCATCTCATCTCCGCGCGCAGACCGATAAGCTTAACCATGTCGACTGTTGCCCCCAAAGCTTACGTTGACGAATCGGCGTCATGGAAATCGTTCAAGCTTGATCCCAGACTCACACAGGCGATTGAGCGAATGGGGTTTGAACACCCCACCCTCGTTCAGTCCCTGGTCATCCCCCTCGCCATTGATGAGAAGCGCGATGTCATCGCCAAATCAAGCACTGGTTCGGGGAAGACTGCAGCCTATGTCATTCCCATCATAAACCACTTGTTGACTACCCAAGCTAAAGGCATTCAAGCCATTATTTTGGTGCCCACCCGTGAGTTGGCAGTTCAGGTCACTCAATACATCGAGAAAGTGGTGATGTACTGCGGCGCCTCTGGTAAGATCAACACCGTGAATCTTGGGGCCAATCTCAGTGATGCTGTGGTCAGACTGATGCTTGTTGGTAGACTGCCTGAGATCATCGTTGCCACCCCGGGTAAGCTTATCAAAACTCTTGCTGCGAACAAGCTGGAGCTTCCTCAGTTGTCGCAGACCGTGTCACAGTTGGTTATCGATGAAGTGGATCTTATAGTGTCTTATGGCTACATGGACGACTTGCAAACGCTCTCTCAAGAATGGTTACCGATCAAGAAGAACTTACAAACCTACCTTATGAGTGCCACTATTAACGATGATGTTAATGAACTAAAACAAAAGTTTTGCACCAAGCCAGCAATTGTGAAGGTCAACGACAACGTTGGCCAAACCAACTTGGTTCAATACTACGCCAACACCACTGAATTTGACAAGTTTTTGTTGGCCTACGTCATTTACAAGCTTAATCTTATCAAAGGTAAGCTGATCATTTTTGTTAACAATATCGACCGAGGGTACCGCCTCAAGCTTTTCCTCGAGCAATTTGGCATTCGCTGTTGCATTCTTAATTCCGAACTTCCTATCAATTCGCGTCTACACATTGTCGAGGAATTCAACAAGAACGTGTACTCTTTATTAATTGCTACCGACGAGTCTAACGACGTGCAAGAAGATGAAGATGCCGACGAAGAAACTAAAAAAATCAAGAACAAGGGCGAATACGGGGTATCGCGTGGTGTCGATTTCCGTAACGTTGCGTGCGTGCTCAACTTTGACTTGCCGACCACTGCCAAGGCCTATGTTCATCGTATAGGGCGTACCGCTCGTGCTGGCAAAGCGGGGATGGCGTTGCTGTTTGTCATTCCTCAACTGGAAGTGGGCAAGCATAAGGTGGCAGGATTGCCGCTGGCAAAAAAGGATGAAAAGGTTATGCGTAAGATTGTTAAACAACAAGAGAAGAACGGGTTTGAAATCAAGCCATATCAATTTGACATGAAGCAGGTGGATGGTTTCCGTTACCGTCTGGAAGATGCTTTCAGAGCCGTCACCTCCACTGCCATTCGGGAAGCTCGTGTGGCCGAGCTTAAGCATGAGTTGATAAATTCGGACAAACTTAAGCGGTTCTTCGAGGAAAACCCTCAAGACATGGCCTCATTACGACACGATAAAGAGTTGCACCCGTCGCGGGTTCAATCACATCTTAAACGGGTACCCGATTACTTGTTGCCTGAGCAGGCAAGACAAGACCGGGGCAAGAACATCGGCTTCGTGCCCTTCCACAAGCTGACACGGAAACACCGTGTTGGCAAGAAACGTGGGGGAAAGAAGCGCGATGTGTTGAAAATGTAGTCGGGGTTCTCGAGTCTCTATTAATAATACATGCAGTCATCGCCGGTCAAGCCAACTTCGATAAAATAACGTTCCATACTAACGTAGCCAAGCAATTTGCCGGGAACATTAGCAGCGGGTCCAAAAACCCAAATGCTAGAATCAGAAATAATGGCCAAAAGCAGTAAGACCATCTTAAGCTTCGGAAAAACGCAACGTGAGTCTGTTTGGTGATCTCTCCGTGTTCCCATAAGGAGTTCAAGATATTAAATAATAACTGGAACATCGGGGCGCCGACAAGTTGGTCGAGAAGCACTCGATGCACCGTTGAATCAAACGTTCGAGTGACCAAGTCAATCCACAAGGCTGTAAAACAACCGTTGATCATCCCCCAGGTGATAAACTTGAGTATCCGGTTGTACAGCAACACATGCTTGACGTATTGGTTGAAAGTTTGCGCCAAGGCGGCAGTGCCAGCACCCAACAAAATGGGCGAAAGCAATGGGTGGACGACCTTTATTTTGTCGTAGTTGGTGTAGATGGCACCCGTGAAACACGCTTCTGCCAATATAATGGCGATCACCTTCCCTCGCGACGCTTTGGCCGACCGCGGCGTAAAGTAGTTGCCTGCCTGAGCCAGAGCTGCCTCTGCCTCCTTTTCGATGTCCTTATCAGTCTTCTCCCTGGCCATATGATGAGGATGGGGGGCCTGTTATTGACACGCTACCTAGATCTCCACTAGCGCGTGTGCGAGTAGGCACCACCGAAAATACCTTGGTATCGCCACGACAGCGTGGCTGAGAATGTTATTGTTGGGAGACGAATGAAAATGACGAAACTTAGTAAACTAAAGCCGCAAAGTCATCATGGAGAAGCAAATGAACATAAAACATTAATAAATGAATGAGTCTATGTTTTATGGATTGTTGGAATCGGTAAATTTAATTGAAGATGACAGGTCAACATGTGTGAGACGATGTTATACGACAGGCTGAAAAAGATGGGATTGAGATTTGATGGGTGACCGAACTGAGCAGAAGCAAGAGTAGTCAAGAGAAGCTGACATCATTCCAAATATTGTAATGCTCGGAGTTTTGCGTTTGTGACATCAAAATTCCTTCGGTTATCTGCTAAGGATATTGTTATGACCAATGGTTACACATAAGAAATCAGGGGCAGCTTTGCAGTACCAGCTCCTCTAAATTTGCCATTCATTCGATGTCCAACAAGTCATACGCTAGTATTTCTCTTCCGATAACTTGCTTGGGGTTTAGTTCCTGAACAATAAAGCAAGGGTCATAATGGTGACGCAAACAATGGGTACCCAACGTCAAGTAATACACTCCGATCATAGTAGCTTCTTGCTGACACCGCTGGATCGAATTTGAGGCCAGTTGGTTATGACTGAGTTGATGTATGCATAGGTTGTAGGCATATTCGAGCAATTTCAGCCTATTCTCAGTGGTTGGTTCAACCTTAATGAAAACCGGTAATGGAACTATTGGATAGAGGCATTTTTGCAGAAGAGGATTTGATTCGATATTCGGTCAGTACAAGTCTTAGGGCGTTCCGCTGATTGTGGTGTCTTGATTAATCAGCACAGGAGATAAAATGGACATGAATAAAATTTGGCTAATGAGGCGCACGCAGGGCTCAGCTGGGGTGATACAGGGAATAGGGGGAAACTCCGGATGAAATTAGTAAACTACGAGGGCCATTAGCACTTCTGGGAGACGACAATTAATCCGAATACCCACCTCTGGGACGGTTAGTAAAAGTGATTGTTTAGCGCAGGCCGCATAAGCTTCAAAATAGCTACCAGCTCCTGCGACCCCACCGGGGGTCTTGGCGTCTATGCAGGTCATACTGCGTTTCGTAAGCTTAGTAAAAATTTGTATGGCGCGGGTGGCTTGCGCCCACAGCAAAAAAACCTGGAATATATAAGTTCGTGGGGAGCGCGTAGATTGACCCAAACAAACACAATTCACAATGGCTCCCAAAGTTGCTATCATCATCTACTCCATGTACCACCACATTGCCACTTTGGCCGAATCGGTCAAGGCTGGTGTTGAATCCGCCGGCGGCCACGCCGACATCTACCAGGTCCCCGAAACCCTTTCGGAAGACGTGTTGAAGTTGTTGCACGCCCCCGCCAAGCCCAACTACCCCATTGCCAACTTCGACACCTTGAAGAACTACGACGCCTTCTTGTTCGGTATCCCCACCAGATTCGGTAACTACCCCGCCCAATGGAAGGCGTTCTGGGACGCCACTGGTGGCTTGTGGACCGAAGGTACCTTGTACGGTAAGCCCGCGGGTATCTTCGTCTCCACCGGTACCCCCGGTGGTGGTCAAGAAGCCACCGTCATGAACGCGTTGTCGGTGTTGGTCCACCACGGGATTATCTACATCCCCTTGGGTTACGCCAAGGCCTTCGCCCTCATCACTTCGTTCGACGAAGTCCACGGCTCGTCGCCCTGGGGTGCTGGTACCTTCGCCGGTGCCGACGGTTCGAGACAACCCAACAAGACCGAATTGCAAATCGCTGAAATCCAGGGTGCTGAATTCTGGAAGGCCGTGCAAAAGTTCTAATTGACTTAGTTAATAGACGTACACTATAGCCAAATTTTGTAAACTCTACTTCGGGGTATATTGTAGGCGCAGCGGGCGCTGTGTGGAACCAGCCTGCCGGCCGCAGGCGCGCCGAACCTGCCGGTACTTCAGCAATCTTTGGCGTGGGTGCAAAAAAAATGTCGGGACCACCAAAGAGAGAAAAAGTAAAAAATTTCGATTGAATTCCAGGTTACGAGCCCGCGCGCTTACCAAAAACCAGGCGATTTTTCAGCCGTTAGTTCCGTGATCAATCCTAGCTGAGAATGGTCGTTCACAATCCTAACAACTGGTGAGTATTTTACGGGTTATTCTAATCACTGTTGTTCCAAAATACTAATGCCATAGGCACTGGGTGGATAAGAACTGTTTGCCGTGGGCCAAGGAGTACTTTGCCACCAATGTCAAGGGCATCTCGGTCAACGAGGACGGGGCCGAGTTGACGGTGGTGGCGATTGATCTGGTCACCGGCGACTGCGACGTCACCCAGCGTAAGGGCAAAGTGCTCTGCATCTACGATATGGTGATCTCGATGCTGGTGTCGGGCACCGTTGACGGCACCGAGGTCAGCGGCAAGATCATGCTCCCCGAGTTTGTCCACGACCAGGCCCACGACGACTACAACTTTAAGGTGACTGGCGACGATATTGAAGCCATTACGTCTAAGCTTTTGCCGTGGGTGTTGGAGCAAATGCAAAAGTTCCAAGCCGACTTGATCGCTGCCCACGAACAAGACGTCCAGCACGCCACTGATGCCTAGACGTCTTTGGTGGTTTCTCTTTGCATAATATACACTACATTTTGGACTTGTCGGTGTCGTTGTGATTAATTTTTCCATTGTCTATTAATGCTCTCTTTGTAACAGTATTACCCCTTTGGCCCAATTAATTTGTGTTCTCTAGTATTGGTAGGTGTGGATCTCCGGCACGTGCTGCACCTTGACCAACGGACGGTAGACGGGACGCCACATCTGCTGGCGCACCCAGTCGACACACTCGTTGAACTCCCACGGCACCTCGACGAGGTAGCCGTCGGGGTTCAGCTCGTCTTCGACTCTGGCCTTACCCTCCTTCACTGCCTGTAAGATGAACGCTGTCGCCACTTTAGCCGACACTTCGTCGATCTCTTCGAGGGGCGGGAGCAACCCGTTCTTGGGGTTGGCCATCTTCGGCAGCAACAGCGCCAACTGGTCGACGGCGGCGGAGATCATCGAGTCGGTGATCTCGGTGCACCGCGAGAGCACGGCGCCCAAGCCGATCCCGGGGAAGGTGAAGCAGTTGTTGTTTTCCGAGATGTAGTAGCCGTTGACGGGTTCAAACGGCGACCCCGTGGCGATGAGGGCGTTGTCATCAGTCCACTTCATCAAGTCCTTAGGGACAGCTTCGTGGAGACGTGTAGGGTTCGATAACGGGAAGATGATCGGCTGCTTGTTGTCAGCGTACATCGCTTTAACCACATCTTCGGTGAATGCCCCGGCTTGAGTCAGACAACCCACAAGGGCAGTGGGCTTCACGTGCTTCACCGCTTCCAACAACGAATGGGTGTCGACGCCTTGCCAGTCAGCAGGGTCGTCGGCGTACTGCAATTGAGCCTCCAGGGCACCTGGGGTGTTGGTCAAAATGACCCCCTGGCGGTCCATACAGTGGATTTTAGACCGCGCCTCTTCCGGGGTGGCACCGTGGGATACCATGTGGTTGACGATCTGGTCGGCAATACCGAGCCCGGCCAGCCCTGCCCCGTAGATCAATACGGTGGAGTCGAGCAAGTTGCGGTTGGAGTACTGGAGGGCCGCCGTCATCAGCGCCATCACTACAGCCCCAGTACCCTGGATATCGTCGTTAAACAGCGGCAACTGGTTGCGGTACTTCTGCAAAAGCGTACGCCCCGTCAGCACGCCAAAGTCCTCCCAGTGGAGCACCGCCAGCGGGAACCGCTTCTTCACCGCCTGGATGAACTTGTCGACAAACTCGTAGTAGCGGTCGCCTCGGACGCGGGGAAACCGGTTCCCCAAGTACAACTCGTCGTCAAGCAACGCCTTGTTGTTGGTGCCGACGTCCAACACCACCGGCATCACCCGCCCGGGGTGGATACCGCCGCAGAGGGTCATAAGCCCCAACTTGGCAATGGCAATACGCACGCCGCCAACCCCTTGGTCACCGATCCCTAAGATCCCTTCGCCGTCAGACACGACAATGTAGTCAATATCTTTATCTTCACCGTACACCAGCATGCGGGTGTCAATTGAGTCGGGGTCGTTAATATCCAAGAAGCACCCCTCAGGTTTACGGAACCGGTGTGAATACAGAGCAATGGCATCCCCTTCAGTGGGAGTATAGATAATGGGTAACATTTCCCGAATATGGTTGCGGACCATTTCGTAGTACAACACCTTATTTTGGATTCTCATCAGAGTACAGAAATCATTCTTGGCGAGAGGAGTTTTCAAGTAGGAGAACTGGCGGTAGGCCCGCGCCACCTGTTCGTCGAGCGTGTTCACGGCCAGCGGCAACAACCCTTCGATGCCGAAGGCGATGCGTTCCTGCTTGTCGAACGCCAGCCCCTTGTTGAAAAGGGGCGAGTTTAAAAGCTGGAAACCGGTCAAATCACACTCGACGGCGCCTTCGTTAGAGAGCCGGGTCACCTTAGGCTTCAAGCTGGCAATCGCCGCTTTGATGCCCACGGGCGTCTTGATGGTGTGGGTGTGGATCAGCGTCTTCACCCCTGGATGGGTGGCGTGGGAATTGCCACAGCGGGCGGTCAGCAGAAACCATCGAGTCGAGCGGATCATCATTCGTTTGAGCGAGCGCTGCCTTTTATTCGTTGTCCAGGGGGTATGGCGTTATATATACTACTCCATTGCTTCTGATCGGCCACCACAGGTAGGCGTACAGGGAGGCGCATATTTTTACTCCGCTCCGTAACCGGAGCGAAAGCAGGTGTCACCGAGCCCCCCCCTACCAAGGGCGAGAATGAAAAAGTACTTTATACGGGAATGTGTAGCTTGAAGCATCGCGGCAGGAAACTGCGGATGGCGCCAAACAAAGGGCGTTTGGCATTGTCCTTCGTGGACGATTGCTCGCCGGTGGTTGGTGGTGAGAGGGGCAATTACAAGGCGAATAGGGGCGGTCGAGTCGACGCCCCACTTCCAGCCACCAGCATTGAGTAGTGTCAGGCAGTTCCGATGGACTCCGACGTGTTGGGGTGTTTCTGCTGCGGGTAGGGAGCTCGGCGGGGGGTGGTAAGCGATACCGAGCCCCGCTCAACGGCACAAAAGAGGGGAAGAAAAAATAGGGCAGCGACGACGGTGAGAGTGGTCATTTTCGACGGTAGCAACCCACCCCTGGACGCTGGAAAGACGAGGGTTTCGCTACCGGCAACGCCGAGGGCCCGGGACCGTGTCTGGTGCATGTATTAGCCGGTGAGTCAGAGTCGTTCCGGACCAGCGGGCGGTTGCGATAAGCTCAGTGGTGATACGCGTGGCGCGGCCCCAGCAGGACAAAACCGGAAGCAGCGAAAACCGTCGCCCCCAGAGATGTCCTGCAACGTCAAATACGGACAAGCGGCTACAGCTTACTGACGCCGAGAGGCATCGCAAGATTTTGCCTCGGTTGCAACCAACTGGGCGATGGAACCCAGGGGAAAAATTGGCGCCCGGTGGTTCGTATTCCTGGGGTTGCGAGTGCTTCGTTTCCATTGCCACGTGCTACCAGCCTGTAGTCGTTAGCTTTTTGCTTAAATAAGCGCACACTCCATTTCCCCCACTTGCCCTGTGTGGGAGCGTGTTAGCTAATGCCGCATGCCTAACGGAAGTAGCCCCACTTGTCTCTCCGGAAGATACCGTGCCGGTTTTACGCTATGAGGGCGGTAGCGCTAACCGCTGGTGGGGCTCTACTGCAACACACCAACTTTTGCCCAACGAATTACTTTAAGAGGCCCATTGTGGAAAATAAAAAAAAAAGTGTCCATTGTAAATTCAGGATCGTCGCAATCAAAATCGCCAAAGGCGTGGGTGCGGTATTATAATGAGTTAATGTGGCTGAGTGGTGGTGGGCCCATCGCTAGGTTAGCCGATGGCAAGATCAAAACGCTTTGTCCTGCAATTAGTTTATCCGAGAATGCAGTCTGAGTTTGCGTTCGGGTACGTACATCCACTCGTTCGGATCGAGTTTCCGCTTGGGCTCGCGTTTAACTTTGGTGGTTACTGTGACTAACTCAGTCTTTGTGGCCTTCGCCTTGAGTTTCTCGTTAGTAGCCTCAGATTTGATCTCGGATTTGGTGGTGGTCTCAGTCTCGGTTTTTATGGTGACGTCATCGTCGGGGTCGTGATTTTCCACATCACTATCACCACCACCAGTAGGTTTGGGAAGCTTCTTTTGGAGTTCAGGCACGAAGCAACTGGTACGCCCACCAATGGTGACGTGTTCCACCACGTGGCCGCTAGCCACCGTCGCTTTTTGCTTTCTCCCCTTGCCCCATCGATGAAGCATAAGCCAGTCTTTGGGATACTTGGTGACATCAGCCTCGCACCCGACTGCGTACAGACACACATAGATGAGTTTTTCGTAAAGCGTCTTTAGTACTGGATGGTCGGAGTCCAAGATCTTCTGCAGGAGCACTTCGTTAGGGTGGATTCGAGACTGGTAGCACACTTCATCCGCAACCCAATTGCCCACCCCACAAAAGAGCGTTTGGTCCAATAACATCGACTTCAACGGCTTCTTCCGCGAAAGTACAAGCTTAGCAAACCCGTCGTAGTCGAGATGAGGGCGTCCGTGAGGATCAGGATCAGGATCACCGTAACTAAACGGTTCTGACGTTGACAGTGGTGGTGTTTGAGGCTTAGAGTAATCAGGACCTAGCACAGCAAGCGGAGCTATATTCAATAATGCTTTATCGGTATCAACCCCATCTTCAAACCATTTGAACCGAGCCAACCGTCGTGGGTCTCGGAACGCTAACTCTAAACCATTATCAAACGCCAACTCAAACTTGCAAAACCGCGGCGGCCACTCGTCGCTGCCGGCTTCCTTCACAACCACGCCGTCCTTAACTTTCTTGTCACCACCATTTTCCATAAAGATCAAGTGACTATCGACATCTCGCAACTTGATCATTCCAGTCATGCCAAAGTGCATCAAAAGCACCCCCAGCGAAAGCCGGAGCCAGAAGTATTTGCCATGGCGACCCGTCAGAATGACCTTAGCTCCCGTGAGTTTCAGTTCAAGGTGTTCAAACTCTCTGGCTTCAGTGAAGGGGAAGAGGATCGTGTCTTGTTGACACTGAGCCTTCGTGATCGTCAGACCCACCACGTGTCGGCGGAGCATGGCTACGGCGTGAGCCACCTAGACAGTTAGTCACCGACAAGACCGATGTTTCATGTTAGACACTTACCTCTCCCACTTCAGGCATCGGCAACCAGGTTTAGACGTCCAGCAGTAATTGCTGTCCGCACTATGGTAGATGACTGCGACCCCCACACTTAGAGTGGGCGATGATTCAGGGTCAAATAATGCCAAGAACAGCATTATATGAAGACTGGTAGCATCACTGGTGATGGTAGCTCAATGATCAAAATTCAAGCCCATAAGTCTATTTCTTTTTAGGGTGGGCGGATTTGTCACGATCACCACTATACACTCGCAGTCGCCACTACAGTCGCACCACCCACCATGAACCGACTCTTTGGCCGGGGGAACACGGCGCCCAAGCCGTCGCTCAATGACGCCATCGGCAGCATTGACGAGCGGGTGGGGTCGCTTGACGTCAAACTCACCAAGATCAACTCCGAGCTTCTGACGTACCAGCAGAAGATGCTGCGCATGAGGGATGGCCCTGGTAAGCTGGCGCTTAAGCAGAAGGCACTTAAGCTCTTGCGCCAGCGGAAACAGATCGAGGCTCAGCGGGACCAGCTTGAGAGCCAGCTGTGGAACATGACCCAGGCGCAAATGACCACGGAAAACCTCAAAAACACCATGATCACCGTCGACGCCATGAAGACGACGAATAAGGCGTTGAAGCAACAGTACGGCAAAATCGACATCGACAAGATCGAGGATCTCCAGGACGAGATGCTCGACTTGATTGAGAAGTCCAATGACTTACAGGAGGCGTTGCTGACCAATATTGGTGACGTTGACGATATCTCGGAAAGCGAGCTTGACGCCGAGTTGGACGCGTTGGGAGAAGAGATGGAGTTTGAACGTGAGCTTGGCGAAAGTACCGGTGGCTTACCGCTGTACTTGGAAGAGACCGAGCTTCCTAAATTCATTGATGAGCCTGAAGAGCCTCAAAAGGAGGCAGCAGCGTGACCTGGAGTCATGCAAAGCATTGTGTGTTAGTGTGTGTGTATATATATACATAATGTATTAATGATCTAGATTAGGCAAACCCTGGAGGTACACCCTTGGCGTGGCGAATGCGTTCGCGGTGGCCTAAGTAGATCTCAATGGGCCCAGTGTCGTTTGTCCCCGCGGCAAACGAGTACCAGGGAATCAAGCCGCGTTCGATCTCCTTGGCTAACTCGAGGTCGTCAACAGTGGCGTAAGGAACACCCAAGTGAGGGTCAAAGTAGCGCACTTCCTTACCCAGGATCATACATGTCTTCTTATTATTATTGGGCAAGTATAAGCCCAAGGGCGCTTCGGTGGTGATGGTGATGGTGGCGCCGTTGTCGTTCTGGTCGTCGTCGGACTCGTCCACCACTTCTTGGCGGATACCGAGACGAGGAAGCTTGCGGAGCCGGTCAAACATCGGCTCTTCCTCGGTCCAAGTGGTGACCAGAGTCAACAACGCATCGTGTTCAGCCTGGATCTTCTTCTTGGCAGCAGCAGCACCGTAGTCGTCACGGCCACCACTTTTGAAGATGGTCTTAAGGTCCTTAAATCGATGGGACCCAGGAAGAATCGACTGGGGACCAAGTACATAGGTTTTGATGAGTGTCTCAGTGTAACGAGGATCTTCGAAATCGTATAAATATACCCGTTGGCGGGCCACTCGTTGCATGGGTCCATGAAAAAGCTCACCGGTAGCGAGAGGCTCATAGTACTCGTGAACTGGGACTTTCTTTTCCTCTTCTTTGGGTACAAGATCAAGGTCGTCAAGATCAAAGTCAAGACTGGTATTGGCGGCGTCTTCGGCAAACGTGACTCGTTTCGGGGTTGCCAGTCGCAGCCCTTCTTCCTCCTTCAATTCTGGCTTCACCAGACCTTCTTCTTGTTCGTCTTCTTCGTCTTCTTCGCCCTTTTCTTCGACTTCGTTGGCCTCGTCTTTAACGTCAACATCCATTGCGTCTGGCTCCTCAGATTTCACCTTAATTGGCTCCAGTTCAGGTTCAGGTTCAGCGGCTTCTGGGGTCGGTTCCGGCGTTTGTTCGGGTGTCTGTTCAACGACGTCACCCTCGCCGTCTTCGCCTTCATCGCCGTCATCGCCTTCCCAAGGCTCAAAGTGAGGGAGATCTTTCATGAGGACACCAGGCTCCACTTTGAACCGGTCCAAATACTCCTGAACCTGACGTTTCCGTGTCGGTTTCCGCTTATACTTGTCTAGAAGCCGATAGAGCTTACGCCATTCTTCAACTTCCTCACCGGGAGTGATATAAGTCTCTTTCAGTTCAAACCGCACCACATCCACAAGCGCGTGGCGTCGTGAAAGCATCTGGTTACGGCGCTGTTCCTTTTTCACCACTTCCTGTTGACGGAAAAGGTGGAGTGCCAACACGTTACGGCGTTCAGTTTCCACCGCCTCGGCGAGACGCTCTTCCTGAGTCAATTGTTTGTACTGAGGCCGCACCACTGGCGTCATCGTTTTCCGCCGTTCTTCATCTTCTTTGAGTCGACTAACTAAGGCATTGGTATTTTTCACCACCAGAGACCGCAGAGACAGCCGCCTTGATGCCAGCATCAACGACTCCACGCTAATCTGAGGGGTAGGCTGCTTCTTCGGCGCCGGCGCCGAAGTTGCCGGGCGCTTCTTGATCTCAGGAATAAGCTGAGTCTTTTTGCGTTTTTTAGCAATCTTCTCTTGCTTCTGGAGCTCGCGTTCGCCCTCACTGAGGTCCAGATCCAGCTCTGAAAGCTCGGAATCGGAGAGTTGTTCGTCGTCGGGAGCGTCTTTTGGCAGTTGGGGTGTTTCACCGTCATCTTCGTCACCTTGGTCTTCGTTTTCATCACTTTCGGAGTCTAAAGCTTGGAGTTCAGGGTCTTCAAACTCGTCGTCTTCGCCATCTTCTTGGAACAAAAGCGCGACGTTTTCGTCGTCCTCGGTGGTGGGGAATGCCAGCAGAACGTTCTCATGGTGCTCTTCCAACTCGATGAGCTGTTTGAGCCGCAGCCCGGCGTTCTGCCGCCGCTTTCTCGTGGCGACGAGCGACTCTGCTGGCATGGTTGGTAAAGTGATGATCGCGTGAAGTTCGTGTGCGGCGTTTGCCCTCAGCGAGCCCAGGGAATACAAATAGAGGCGTGGTGATATGCAACAAACGACATTGTGTTTTTACTAATAGAATGGTACACCTAGTAATTTAGTCACTACAAAAACATTTTTCACGATCAATTGCTGGAGAAACGTTCTAGCTAGTGTTTGTACCAGTAACCAGCATTGCCACATATTCGCACCTAATTGCCAGAGCGCCTCTCCACTACTCCCAAAGTTGCGACGATGAGATACCAAGTGGTGCGCCAGATGCTGGCGCTGGCGCGGCGGTGGCACACGGGGATCAACTTGGCCGAGCAGAGCCACTTCAACGCCCTCGCCCTGCTGTGGTGGGACGTCGACGGGCCCCAGCGCATCTTGCACAAGATGAACTTGTTGCGGATGGACTTCATCTACGACACTGTACGGGGCCACATTACCCTTAACCCGCCGGGTACTGAAGCTGACGAGGAAGTGTATATCCCTCCGTTCAACCCGGACTTGTTGCCGCTGCCAATTCGGCGCCGGATTGAGCTTGACCAGGACCAGCGCCGCGACGAACTCTTGCTGCACCACCCGCTCAAGGTGTTGGATGTTGGCTGTGGCGGGGGCATTCTCAGTGAACTGATGGCCCGCCTTCCATTTGTCGACCTGGTGCTTGGCGTCGACTTATCGCCCGAAGTGTTGGAGGCGGCACGTATCCACCAGCGGAAAGATCCCATGCTTACTACCAAATTGAGCTATAAGGAAGCGGCCGTGGAGAACGTCGAAGGTGAGTTCGACGTGGTGACGATGTTTGAGATGTTGGAACACGTCGACTACCCGCTGGAGGTGCTTAAAGCCGGTCTCCAGCGTGTAGCTCCCGGAGGGTGGTTGTTCTTGCTGACCATCAACCGCGACTTTGTCCTGTGGTTCACCACCATCTTCATGGGCGAACACGTGTTGCGGATCGTCCCGGTGGGCACCCACACGTTGGAGAAGTACATCGACCACCAGGAGATTGCCGGGTGGATGGCGAAAAACGAGCCCCAGTACTCAGTGGTAGCGTCGAAAGGGTGCATCTATTTACCTGCCTACGGGTGGAAGTTCACGTCGCTGCCTGACGTCGGCAACTACTTCATGGCCATCCAGCGCCACGCCTAAATTTAGTGTTGGCGTGTCTCGCACCCCACAAATCGGTGGGGTTCAGCCCGGAGCCGATGCTCGCACTTTGGGTAACTTTCCGCGGTAGCGGCACCCGTTCCGCGACCTTCCTTATCACGATTCAAAGGAAAGTAAAGAAGGTTGCTCTTTCTTTGCTAGATTGCATAGACGTACGCCGTAGCTGCTCTACATTCTATAAACGAACCCCAGAGTATGGGGTAACCTGCTTAAAACCATGCTGGCTTGAACAAAAGATGGCAGGTGGGGCGCCCCACGTGACCCATCGCCCTCCAATTGGTCGATGCGACCTGCTTCCACCGAGAACCCTATAAAGGAGTGAAAAATTCTGTCCACCGAGACTCCCCCACAAATCTAGACAAACGATCATGTCCACTCAAGACCTCCAAGGTGTCATCGACAAGTTGCACGCTCGTATTGAGCAATTGGAAAAGAAGGCCGGCATCATCCCCGACGTCCCCGAGCTGGTGAGAATGGTGCTCATCGGTCCCCCCGGTGCCGGTAAGGGTACCCAGGCCCCCAACTTGAGCAAGAAGTTCTGTGCCTGCCACTTGGCCACTGGTGACATGTTGAGAGCCCAGGTCGCCGCCAAGACCGCTCTCGGTCAAGAAGCCAAGAAGATCATGGACCAAGGTGGCTTGGTCTCCGACGAAATTATGGTCAACATGATCAAGGACCAATTGGAAAACAACAAGGAGTGCTCCAAGGGTTTCATCTTGGACGGGTTCCCTCGTACCATCCCTCAAGCGGAAAAGTTGGATGCGATGTTGGCCGACCGCAAGACCCCTCTCGAAAAGGCCGTCGAGCTTAAGATCGACGACGAGTTGTTGGTGGCGAGAATTACCGGCAGATTGGTCCACCCTGCCTCGGGGAGATCGTACCACAAGTTGTTCAACCCTCCCAAGAAGGAAATGACTGACGACATCACCGGCGAACCCCTCGTGCAAAGATCGGACGACAACGAAGACGCCCTCAAGAAGAGATTGGTTACTTACCACAAGCAAACCGAACCCATTGTCGAATACTACCAAAAGACCGGCATCTGGTCGGGCATCGACGCCTCGCAAAAGCCCGGCAAGGTGTGGTCGGACATCCTCAAGTGCTTGGGCCAACAATAAGCGCTGTGCGTTTTATTTATTGTAAATAGATTCTACGAATCAACAAAAACCATTTAAGACGTCATTTCTTCAAGTAGTCAATTGAGTATAATAAAGTATTATACTCGTAAGTTGTTTCCGACAATTGCTCTGTATCTGATATCTAATTGGAGTAGACGACAGTCTTGTGACTATGTCATCAATACTAGTCGAGACAGCAAACTCCTAGAGCGTAAGCTTATTAGCAATGTTTGTTGAACTCTGAATATGTGAGCAAACATCATGATGTTCAGCTTGTTTGTTGGAATTACCATAAGGAGAGGAGGTTTCATTTTCAAAGGGTTAATTTTTGACAACTCTAGATTCTGCTCGTAAATATCAGCGAGTTTTAACTTATATTAACTTTCTGGAAAATGATCTTTGAAGATTGTGTCTCTGATATGCCCCACTCATAGCGAGGCATCACGATCCGAAGTCCTGCATCGAGTCGCGAGCGGTATTGACCTACAAGTGAGTAGGATCCAACATATACGAGATCGTTCAACATATGATCTAACCTCGTCAGCTGGATTCGGGACACCTATCAAATCCCTCCCTCAATTGGTACCAATTTACGCCGATCCGGAAACCTGGTCCATCATGGCTGATTCCTCAGATAAGATGGTATCAACTTCAACGTCGCCCACTTAGAGACAATCGTTTGAAACCATTCTTGCTAACCCTCCGACTACGTACTCCGAAAAACAAAAAATTACATGGCTCGGTGAGCTTATCGCTGCATGGATGGTGGAATCGTCACCCTCTCCAATTACCCGGGAAATCGCTGAAAAGGTGTACAGCTTAAAGTACCCCAAGGACGTGGCCATAGCACCAATTGAGTGCAAGTTCATCCTCACTATCGAGGACGATGAACAGAAGGAGGGCATCCTTATGGAACGTTTAGCAACCGCGTATTGGATGAAGTGTCACGACCGTTGGCTTGATATCTATCAGATATCAGTGCCCCAAGTCGAAGAGTACGTCAGGGAATGTATGGTAGGTCTCCCCGGATACGTGTACCGGAGCCGTGACGATCTGGCTACAGCGCTCGTGCTCAAATCCCGCATCTATAATTGTTTGCAAGGGAAACCCGCCCAATTTTTTCTTCGGGAATGTCCAATTATACCCAAAACCTCTGAGGACGTGGTTGAAGGCCTTTTCAAAATATATGATGAACAACGTGAGCTTGGCCTTCACATATATCACAGGGTGATGCCCTTGATGACTCCTACACGTACAAACATTACGACCGGCGCAAGGTGGCGGAGGAGAAATATATCATGTACCAACACCCCCGGTTGAAGAAGGAAATGTGACGACCCCTTTACCTACTCCTGGATGTTTCAATTTGGACCGGAACGGTTTGCTCACCTCTATTCGAAAGCCGACTCGTTGTTAGCATTGCCGGTAATCACCATTAACGACGTATGCAACATTCACGACAAGTTTCCAATCCATCCTGGACCCTGGGTATCCGACGAACAACTGGATGAGAGTGCAACTGACGACAGGCTGAACTCGACCACATCGAAAAGACGCAAGTCTCGCCAAGGACGTGGTAAACGTCAGAAACGCCAGCGAGTCTAGAAGAATTCTGAGGTTCAAGTGCCGGTGCAGTCCAGTGAACATGGTTAGGAAGTCAGCGGTAGCGAGTCCGCTGTGCCTTATGTGACGATGTATTATCTGGGATGTTGGGTTGACGAGTCCGGGAATCTGTTGACAAATCGACGGAAGAATTGTCTGGAGATTCTTGGAAAGCCTGACATTGAAGAGTTGTCTGGATGCATTCCTCGCCATCTGGTGCCGCTGGTATGGGTTCAATCCGCATATCAGTAAGTATCGCATGCTTCCACGCTTGTACTTCAAGCGGCCTCGTGTTCGTACTTGAGAATTCTGCTCCCACAACTAGTCCCAAATTATAAAATTTGGAAAAGTTACTGGCTAGCTAGTTTAGTTGTCACAGATATCACTTCAAAGGCAGGCCCTGGGGGATATTATCAATCATCATGTATTCAAAATTATAGAATTATTCATAGTTAATATAAAAAAACCTTGCTGCTAACACTCATTCTCTGGTGTGAGCTACGACCGACACAGGCCCATATCGTCGCTATGGTGCAATCGTAGCGTCTTAACTAGGTGTTACTCCCACGCGTGAATGTATTTAAATTAGCCTAATCGTCTATCTTTACTTGTCCTTACGCTTGTGGACCTTGAACGCATCCAGCTCCACGTACCGCGAACCCACCACCTTGTTGCCGTTGCTGACTTCAGTCTTGCGCAAGAAGTCCAACTGCACCAACCGCGGCCAGTCGACAAACTGGTACCCGGCCTTGTTAAGGTAGCGGAACAGGCGGACGTTGAAGGCAATGCACAGCACCAACACCACCAAGTTACGCAAGCTCAACAACGACCCCTTGGGGAAGATGAGCATCGCCAAGAAGATCACCAACAGCGTCCCCATAAGGTAGGGTAATAATTGGTCATAAGGGGGACGGGTGTCGATGAACGGAGATTGCACCAGGTCCTGATAGGGGCGGTAGACCCCCAAGATCAAGTCGTAGGCGTCCTGGCGGTGGCCGTCGGACAAGTTGTTTTGGTAGTACCGCAGAATCGAGTTCTGCAAGTCCTTGAGCGCCCCTTGCTTGGTACGCTTACCCGTACGGGTGTAGTCTGTCTTAAGGGCGCCGGTGCCCGAGTACGCCTTGGACACGGCGTCGGCGTTGTCGGCCCAGGCCAGCATGAACACCAAGTTGAAGTCGGGGTCGGCGATTTCCCAGGGTGACGACTCGTTGACGTAGCCCTGTTCGACAAGCTCGCGTTGCAATACCCAGCGGGCGATCGTCAGTTGCACGACGTTGGTACGGTCCAAGCAGTCCATACAGTTGGTACGGACGACCTTGTTTTGGGTGCTGATGACCTTGGAGTTGGCCAAGTCGTAGTGGAACACGTTGTCCAGCGTGTAGCCCAAGCGAACGAGGACGTCGAGCAACAACTTCACCCGGTCCCAACGCATCTTCAGACACTCGTGATGGAAGTCGAAGTAGATGTAGTTGACCTTGTCGGCCAATTGAGGCGGCAACGTTTCCACAGCGTTTTCATAGGCGTCCTTGACCGGCTTTTCGTAGCCCAGCTGGTTGACCAAGTTGACACAGTACTGGTCCCCGTACAACTTCACCTGGGTGTCAAAGTGCTTGGCAGTGGCGTCGGCCAGAGACTGCGAGCTGACGACGAGGTTGGGCTTGTACTTGAGGTTGTTGATCTCAGCCCAGTACACCGGCACCGACCCCCGCGTCTGCACGAGCGAGTACAACTGGTTCTGCGACGTCACCAACACCTGCTCGGTTTCGTTGTAGTTGGCGACGTCCCCGCTGGTGTCGACACCCCGGCGGAAGTACCGCGTGCCCGCTCTCAGCACCAGGCGCCGGGTGATTAAGGCGAATTCAAGGTACTGCTGCTTGGCAAACTGGACGGTGTAGCTGTGGACGTAACCGTAGATGACGGGGGTGACAAAAACACCAGCCTTAGCCGCCACCAAGTCGGTGGAGAGGTAGTGGTTCCACCAGAACCGCTGGTCGTACGACTTCAGTTCTCCAGTATACTGGCGCTGGAGAGAGTTGGTCAAGTCGTACTCGTTGTTGAGACTGAAGTAAAGGGTGGCTTTGCTCAAATGAGCTTTAAGAAGACGCACGTACTCCTGTTCCTCCGTCAGTTTCTTCGCCACCTCCAGCACGGTACCAATCGGCAACACCCTCGTATCGCCGACTTTAGCGATCTCCTTGCCCATCACGCGCCCCACCGTAGTATAGGTGTCGATGACGATGACGTAGGTATTGTACTTGAGGCGGATGGTCCCCAAGATCGCCGCCACTGTCAGCGACGGTCCCGCCTGGGTGGCTGACGGGGGCAGCGTCAGCACCTGGGGGGCGTTGTGGCCCGAGAGCTCCAAGTACTTTTGGCTGGCGGTGTGGGAGAACACGTGGGTGCCGTCGCTGGTGCTCCAGTACTGTAACGACATCGGCAATTAGGTGGTGGTGGGAGGGCGACTGAAGGTCAGTTATAGGGGTGCGCGCGGGTGTGGTGGCCTTTAATAGCTGTGCGAAGCATGTGACCCTCGATGGTATTGCCCAGAGGGGACAAAACCGATCCGGGGCGAGCGACAGAGGCTTTGAGGAATAGAGAAGGGAAGGGATTTACTAGACTCTAGTGATGTATGTTTGATTAGAGATATTTTGAATCATGTTTGACTGAGACTCGTGATATTACGATATTGTGACTGTGAATACTGTGTCCTTGAAATCACGAGGGGAGCCACAAACCTTAATCTAGTGAAAAATGCTGGCGAGTTTGTGGCGGCAAGCGGGGGAGGTCATGGGCACTTCCGGCGATCCGAGCCACGCACAGAAACCTTGGCAGATCCTTCGATGCCCGTGGCTCGTCACTAGGTCACCGGGATCATAGCTGGTGACCACATCCAGCAAGAGAATAGCCAGCAAAAGATAGACAATAGACTCGGGGCCTACACGACTACAATAGCCATTATACCTTAAATCTAGGGAGACATTAGTTGCTGAAGACATAATTAGATGTGAGTTTGGTGTCGTTTATTGACGACGGTTTATTCCCCATTGGGCAGGGCCAGCTTTGGGGTCTGCCTAGTCGCACTCTAGTTAGCTCTGGGAATTTTTCAGCGTCGAGGTTTGCACCGAGCAAGCGGCGGCGCCGCCGCACACTTTTTTCCATCGCACCCAGCGCCGGCGCTCACACCCACATTACTACCTTCGACTAGTACAACCGGCCATGGGGGACGTACTCGAAAAGCTGTTGGACGAGATCATCGGCGAAAACAACAAGCCGCTGCGGCCGCCGAAGAAGCTTGCGGGCAAGAGCTTGCGTGGCCAGGGCGACAAGCTTCGTCGGGGCCAGGGCCGCACGCGGTCGCCGCCGGTGAATAAGGGTGTCCCCCACGAGATCAACCGCCTCTGCCACGGGCGCCCCGTGTTGCGGGTGAAGAACATCCACCCCGACCTTAACGGCGAGGATCTCAGCAATTTGTTTGGCGAGATTCTGCCGGTGGATTTTGTCAAGTTTGATGCCGTTGACGACACCGTCGCCTACGTGTGCTTCCAGAGCGACAATAAGCGTAGCAACGGGCGCGCCGTGGAGAAGTACGACGGGCGCAAGGCGATGGGCCGTGTGATCACGGTGGAAGTGCCCGGGGCGCTGTTGATGGAACGCATTGGTGGTGGTGCCGGCGGCAACCGGCCCACCCATCGCAGCCGAGAAGCCACCCCTGCTGGTGGCGACCGGGCCAAGAAGCCTCGCCAGCGGCGCGAGAGACGTGAGCGCCGCCAGCGCCCCGAGTCGAAGCTGGCAGAAGCATTGGACGACGAGTTGTCGGCGTACATGGCCCAGGGGGAGAAGATGGAGACCGACTGAGTATATATAATGATACGAATGTGACGAAACGACTTTTAGTTTGTTGTAAATGCTATTTGAGAGTTGATGGTATTACCTCTAAATTCTCCATTTTTCCAATTTTTACAAAAATCAACATAAATTTAAGTTGTCAGATATCGTCAGTAAAACCTACATTAGTTTGGGTTGGTTTGATAATTATGCTAATTGTACATCAAATTCAATACATATACTCCTTCTTATACAGTGATCAGTTTGAAATTGTGTAGATTTCTCTCTATGTTAGTCTATGTATTAGGATTGAGAGTCTATATAAACTTTTAAACTTTTCTAAAAACCAAATCTATAAAAAGGATTAACCCATACCCTGGGTCTTTTCCACCATCTCGAGGTACAACTTCTTCGTCTTTTTACGCCAGGTTTTACCCCAAATGATCGTGGGGATAATCAAGGCGATAGTGACAAAATCAATTACCGCCAACGCAATGTAGGTGTTAGTCGTCCCCAGCGAGTCGAGCCACAACAGGCACACAAAGGTGAAGATGCACGCCAACGTGTTGTTGATAATGGAGACCCCCACCATCCCCTGGATGACGATCTCGGGGTAGCAGTCCATGAGGTACAGCATGGCGGTGTCGCCGACGGAACCCCACCCGTAACCAATGAAACCAAGACCGACGTAGATCGCCTGCCACGGCCACGTCTTATCGGCACCAACGCCAAACATAATGAGCCCCACGGGGGAGATGATTAAAGTGATGAAAAGCAACCATAAGCGGTACTCAGGCTCCATGACGCCGTTGTTGCGCTTAGCGAGCCACAAGACGTGTTTGTCGGAGAGCACACCCGCCATGAAACACCCGATACAGGCGCCAATTAACGTGGCAACGTTCATCACTGCAACACCAGTTTCCAGCTTATTCCAGGGATCGTCATAGAAAAACGTATCTTGTGTAGTCAAAAAGAACGTCATATAGGCATCCTGTAACCCCCACAAAAGGCCCAGGAGCCACACTGCTGGTAACGTGAACACTTTGAAGTAGAGCAAAAACCGTTCTAAGTATTGCTTGAACCCGAAGCCAATCAAATAAGGCGACGGAGTGATGATGGCGATGCGTTGCCAGTAGGGCTTTTTCTGTTCCTGTTGGCTTTCAAAGTCAGTTTTCGCGGCAACAATGGAAAGCTTCTTTTCGTGGACATGCGTCGATTGGCGGTCGATATCGTCAATCAGATTCTTCTCGTCAACCACGGGAGTCTCCAGATCGTGTTTCTCATCTTGTTTGACACCTTCCTCAGAGCTGGGGATGCTGTTAGCGTCATACACGGGAGCATACTTCTCCCTGGGAAACACGGTTTCCTCACAGAAAAACAACGTCACCACAAGCGTACCGCCACAGATGATCGCCCCCATCCAGCCGACCCAGCGGAACGTCATCAGCTGCGAAATCAAGTGGGCAATCAACGGACCCAAAAACGACCCCACCGACGTCGCCAAGATATACACCGTCAACACCGACCCCAACTGGTGCTGGAAGAAGATGTCCAGCAACGACTGCTGCACCTGGGCCTCAGCGCAGGCCTCGGACATCCCGACAAACGCCTGCGACCAGATGGTGTCGGCGGTACGGTCAGAGAGGGCAAACCACACCAGCCCCAAAGTACCAGCGAGTAAACAGATGAGGTAGGTGATACGACGTCCGTAGAGCGACGAGGCGGGGGCAAAGAAGATACACAGCCACCCGATAAAGAGGAAAAGGACACCGGCGCCGGTGTTCATGGCGTCGTAGGAAATCCCATAAAACTCGTTGAGCGACTCTTGCGCGGCGCCGGCATCGTTGGAGGTGGCGGCGGTGAGCGCGGTGATGAACGACAAGAGGGCAAAGTGCCACAGCTTACGCCAGAACCCCCAATTCAACGGGTCGTTGGGCAGCTCCAGCGGCTGGGGCATGAGGATGACGCCCTTGCGCAGGCGCTTTAAAGGTTTCCCCAGCAGCTCCACCAGCAGGGCGTCGGTGCCGACAAACACATTGACGGTGCCGGGGATGTAATTTTCATCGTAGTAGTGGGCGAGGTTGGTCGCGTTGGTTAGGCCGTGAAATTGTGTCATCCAGAGAGATGCCAAGCAACAAGGAGGCGGGTGCAGGTAGGGGTCCGAATGGTGGGCAGGGGCAACGACGGGATCGGAAGGCGGTCGCTTACGGTAAGGACCCGGGGATCACAGTGTCTGGTGGAGGGAGCAGCGGGGCGCCGGGGATATAAATCTTTCGCGCAGCGCCAGCGCCGGCGGGCGGGGTCGCGAGATGAGCGTTGCGATAGCGACAGGGTTTAACCCTATCAGCGGCGTGGGGGTAGGGGGAGGCGGGCACCGTCGTCGGTTGATGGATTCAACTATATCTAGAGAGAGTTTGAGTTTGTTTGGGTGAGCTGCTGTCTTCTGAGACTACGGGTCGCTGTTCAAGGCAGACGCTGCTGGTGGTAGATGTTCGCACCCCGTTCTAGGTAAGCGATCGTGTGATCCACCGAGCGATGCCGTACGTCAATGACAGCAACCCTCGCCCAATGCGCGATTTCGGCGCCGGCGCAGCAACTAGTCTGGCTTTAGTAAGTATTGTGGCGCCGAGGACCGTATACCTTTTTCAGTCATCCCCCATATATCAGCGATAAGCCGATAGTCCTAGAGCTATCACCTCAAGTCTTAGCTACTTTGTTGAGTTTAAGGGGTCTCGGAATTAGACGCGCTAGCTAATATATCCGAGAAGGGGGATTTTTCGTTCATCCCGTGAGGGTTAATTATAAATGACGTAGTCAGCCGTGCGAGCGATGGCAGCTTCGTTCGAGGGGGCGCTAAGGAGAAAATAGGTGAAAATTTTTTCTCGGCGTAACCAGGGGGTAAGGCGCCGCTGGTTAAGCGCGATGACATCGACACGCAGAAACCCGGAGGCTCAACACCGTCGATTAGGAAGTGAGGAGAAAACAGAGTCAAAGAAGGGAGTCAAATAAAGGGATTCAAAGTAAAAGGGACGCAAAGAGAGACCAAAGTCTAGAATGTATACGTGTCATTAATCCCCGGGGGGCTTTGTTATACACCGCGTATTTACAAGGAAATGGCGGGGGGGCACCCGAGAGCCGACTTGATCGAGCCGTACAAGGTGAATTGCAACGAGGTCAAGGTACCGACCATGACCAAACGGGTGGGCAAACCGGCGAACGAGCCCTTGAAGCCCAATTGCTTGGCCAATTGGACCAACAAGCCCATGGTCGATTGACCGGGGGCCTTCTTGGTCTTGTTAACCTTCGACAACAAGGTGTCGGCGGGTTGCGAGACAATGGCGGCGGCGCAACCGGCGATGACACCCGAACCCAAGTTGACGGCGGTGTTGGTGGCGGAGGTCAATTGGTCCTTAGGGGTGGGGATCGAGGCGTAGATGGCGGCGGAGGCTCTTTCGAACACCAAGAACTTGGCGATGTTGTAAGGGATTTGCTTACACAAGATCGGCCCGAACCCGTTGTAGAACGACCCGATACCTTCTTCCTTGGCGATTCTGGCGAAACCCGACACCAACCCGTCGGCGAAGTCGGGTTGCGACACCAATCTGATTCTGGTGGCTTCCAAGGGGCAAAGAGCAATGTCGGCGAAGAACTCAGCGGCGGCCGACGAGAAGATGTAAACACCGTCCTTGTATTGCTTGGCCTTATCCAAGCCCAATTGTTCGATGCATTGCTTCTTGAAAAATTCGTAACCACCGAACTTGAAGGCACCTTGCAACGAGTAACCCAACACGGTGGGGCCCAAACCGGTCAAAAGAGCACCGGCACCTTCGTTTTGGATGACTTGCTTGAACGAGCCAATCATACCCTTGTTGTACACGGTGGGTTCCAATTGAATCTTGGTCTTGACGACATCAATGGGGGTCATGGCCCCGTGGGTGAAACCACAGCCGATGGCACCAGCCAAAGCGAACTTAGCGTAGTCCAAAGCCGTGAACTGGGGAATATCTTGTTGAGTGGCCATAATGAATGTATGGATAAGTTAAAATTTTTCACAGCGGTGTTGAGGTTATAAATGGTTTTTTCCTTGACTGTGTACAGGTGCGCGTCGGTAAATCACGGAGAAAAGAATCCCCGGGAAATGATTGGCTGCCACGTGGTGGGGGTGGTTTTCTAGAGCTAGGGGACCCCCCATCTCCCCAAGATCGCTGTCAAACAACTACCACACTCTACTGAAGCCGCTGGCATCGTCCCCGGCGTGCTCGCACCTCATGCTTGTGGGGGCGCTCCTACTTTCTTTTTTTGCATGGAAATCCCGCAATCGTCGCTCGCTTCGAGCGTGAGATCAAACCAGGTGTCAAAACACCCTTCGGCCCGGCCCGCCACAGTGTCTTACAAAACTGCTCAACTCCGGGGCGTGACCCGTAGACTACGTAAAATAAAGACAATCCGTAGTTAGGCCCATTCTATTGGTGCACCCAACAGTTTCCCGACCTCGTTTACCCAAGGTTAGCTGGGGCCGCCTCACGCGCACCATTACACCCAGGAGCGTGCCGCCACAACGGTTCCGCGAGTCGCAGCCGTGTTGGTGGGAAAAGTGTAAACAACCACCGTGGTCAAAGGGGGAGACGCGTGCGTGACGTCTCCTCGGTTATCACTACCGAAACAGATGGTGAAGACGAGGACAGAGGGGGTGGTGATCCCAAATCACCAGCTGCTGGTGCCAAGAGTATGCAATCCGTTTCGAATGGTGCTGAGCCTGGAGATATTCCACCGCGTCTCGGCCTAAAGCGGCGGAGATGACGAAACAGGCAAGGGTGCGTGGACAATTGAATGCGGGCGAGAAGCATGCCGAGAAGAACAAGCAAATAAGGCCCGGTGTTGTCCGTAAGATGGTCATCCAGGGAATTTATGGTTTCAAGTTGAAACCACTCCAGTTATGGTCTCCTTGGCCCTCCTAGATGGGCTAGCATTGTCATTGCGGCACTGTATGCACTCCCGAACAAATAGCTAGTCGCACCGCTGACGACGTCAACCTCTGGCAAACTCACCGAACAGGTTCAGATGGCCTCCAATGAAGTGTTAGCCACGCTCTGCGAGGATCTCCAGCTATCGAAACTGGCGATCTCGCAGATCCAGGCGACATTTGCACAGATTGGACAGCGGGCGCCGACGCCCGAAACGTACAACGAGCTTGTTCGGTTAACGCTGGGCGATGTCCACGTCGACCCCGAGTTAGCAGCGCTTTTCGATCGTACTAAGGTGTACCTTAATCTGAGCCAAGTAAAGGTAGCGGTTCGGCTTCGCGAGTTGATGGAGCAGCATCAGTTGCCGGTCATCGATGCCCTTCAGAAGATCAACTTTAAGGCGCCGCGCCCGGGCAAAGAGGTCACCCAGTTTCTCGATTGGGAGCCGCTGGTTAAAGGCAGCTCTACCACCCCTAAAACCATCACCGATGACGCCGCCGCGTGGCCCCCGATTCTCCCCCTGATATCTCTGGATGTGCTCTTGTTAAGGGCCCTTACCGACAAACTGTGGCGACTGCCCCTGGACTTTATCGAGCTGCTGGAGTTTAATGACTTCTCCCGCGCTCACAATGGCAAGTTGGCCGTGAAGGGGGCGCTGGTGTTGCGGCTTGCCCTTGTGGACGTCATCGATGAGGCCTACCCTTTCATCGGCGCCGAGGAGTTGAACTATTTGGTGAACCAAGCCATTAATGAAACCGCCCTTGCAAAGTTTGCTTTGGGCTACAATTTGCTTGATAGCTACCGTTATTGTCTCAGTGACCAGCTCCCGGAATCGGAAAAGGTGAGTCTTGTTGCCCGGGTGTTCCTCGCCTACATTGGCGCCTTGGCTGCCGATAGCTACTCTGTTGAAGCCATCACTAAGTGGATCGGCAAGCTTTACAAGCCGCTTTTGAAGGACCTTGGCGAGTTTACGATTTTGCTGATGGCAGAAAACGAACTCAATTTCTTCATCAACCTGACCCCAGAGAATACCCTTGAATTCAAAGAGACATTCGATGACGACTTGGGGGTGCACACTTGCGAAGTGGTGTATGGTGAGGGCGAAGTGTTGGGTCTGGGCACTGACTCTGAGAGTGCCGCCAACGCCCGACAAAAAGCCGCTTTCGCCGTTGTTGGTGACGCAAATCAAATGACAAAGATTGTGCGAGAGCTGATTAACCGCTACGTTCAAAAGCTGAAGACTACTGAACAATTTGTGGTAGACAGCGCCAACGGGGCATCTCCGTTAACTTTGGCTCTGCCACTCATGCAACTTAAGCAAAAGCTTGACGAGAACACTATGACTGCTAACGTCGTTTACAACCCGATTGCGCAAGAAATCGTGGCAACAATTTACGTGAAGGGGGTCAGCATAGGTGAAGGCGTTGACACCACGAAGAAGGGGGCTCTTGCCAAAGCTGCCCAACACGCTAACGAGCGGAGTGGTTCATGGCAATCTTGGTTTACAGCAATCAAGAAGCCCGTTAAAAAAGCTGCTCTCAATTACTAGTTTCGTACGCTAATTAATGCAAACCAAAAAATATGAACTAAATTGCCTCCAAACTTGCTTTATTCATGACATTTCTGAACAACTGTGGTGCGGGGGTATCATACAGTTTGACTTGAGGTAGAAAAGTTGAGTGGTAATGCCAAAAGGTTGGAAAGCAGAAGAATTTCAAGGTCATGTTGACATTCGTCAGATATAAATATGCGAGTCTAAAATTTTCTAAATCGTCTTTGGTAGTATAACGGTTAGTATTTCCGCTTGTCACGCGGGAGATCGGGGTTCGATTCCCCGCCAAAGAGCAGTATCTTTNCCCTTTTTTTTTTTTTTTTTTTTTTTTTTTTTTTTTTTGACATGCTGAACTGTAACGTTTATCTGTGATTTATCGTCTGCATCATTAAGATTCCAATTTTATCCTGGCTGGAAGTGCATATCGAGAAGCACGATCACGAGAGAAATTTTAAGTTTGACCAAGCAAAGACCGCTGCTGAAAACCTTGAAGCTATTATCAACGTGCACCGTTTATCCCAAGTCGTGATGAGACAACTCATTGCTCTTACGTCAAAGTGTTTTCCACGGTGTCCGATCTATGCTATTTGCTGATTTTGCGGGCTCCCCAGCTGACGAAGCTTCCTCGAGTATATGTGCTGGAAGCAGCCAGTGTCGCTCAAGTAATGCGTCATAGAATGACTACCAAGCGGGGCGTGGTGTTGAGTGCTGCCGGCGTGCTCAATTTAGACACTAAGAGTATTGGTGCGGTCGACAGTGCAAGACGGAGGAGAGCTGGCGAACTTTGGTGTGGTTTTTCACAACGAGGAACCGGTACTTCTTAGCGATTTTTGTGGCGAGACGGAGGAGGCGCTGGTAACGTCGAGAATTTCCGTCACTAGTGATGCCCAAGGCCGGTTAAAACGAGTATCGATTATTGCTGGCGACTGTGTCATTCTGTGGCTTAGGCTCAAGCAAGCAATTGACTTGGCCACCACGAGAGCTAAGGTGGTATTCCAGTTGTGACACGAAACCGCTAACGACGCCTACATATCTTTAATATAAATTATTATGAAGGTATCTTTGATTTTGATATCAGAGGAAGAGACGCCGCCTCCAGTGGAATTTAAGTATAATGTAGAGAGCAGAGACCTTACCTTGCTCTGCGAATAAGACGAAATTGGTGTTCGACGCTTTCTAAAGTTCAATACAATAGTTTGAAAGCCTTAGTGTCTACACACAAGTGCACGACAAGTTTGTGAACAAGAGAACTGCTTCGGTGTTCATCTGGGCTGGATTATTATGCTTTCATTGATATCATTTAAGTGAAATTGGAACAATTGTGGTTGAAGCATTGTAATAAGCGTGTTGCTTAGCTTGTCACAGCTCAATCAACTGAATTAATCATCTGTATAATGGCCTGTATATAACATCCCGCGTCAGTCTCAACTCCTGCATACAATGTACTCGTTCTTAAAATTATTTCAAATTTTCTTTTCAAGTTTGTTTTTCAGGTTTTTTTTTT